CTTTTTGTCAACAAGAAAACCGCTCTGTTCATAATAATGGCGCACTTGGTTAATTAGCGTCGCCAATTAGTAGAATTCCCGCGATTTAAAAGTGGTGTGCTTGAGTCTCGGGGCTGCGACGGAGGAGTTATCGAAGTGGGAGGGGGAGGGTGACAATTAATTAGTGCGCCGTCGATAACGCGGCGTGCTCATTAGAGGTCGGCCTGAGAAATGCCTCGGCTCCTCGGGGCGTGTGTGTAGTTATCTCTAACTGAGACTCGCAGAGAGAGACTTCTTCCCTGTGTGTATATGTGCGCGGTGCAAAGAGGCCGCAAATTGGCTCCATAAACGATGGGACACGCGTCCCCAATGGGCGGCACAGCCCTCGATGGTCATTTTCTGCTAATCATGGATGCACGCACAAATTGGAGGAGAGGGACCATTCGTTTCGGGATTAAAATATTATGCAGATTTGCAAATAATTTGAAAGAAAAGAAAATGCACATTTTGTACAAAAAAAGATAAATTTAGGAAGTTTTTCTATTAAATTCATTTTCATTAAACAATCAATGACAAAGAGGAACTTCACCTGTATAAGAAGGGAAAAGTTGATAATTTTAAAAATATTTTAACTGGTATTAAATTAAATTATGAAATGAGTTCACTTAGCTGTGTTGCGTTGAACTATTTAAAAGATATAAATCTTCCTTCCGTGAGGTTTTTTGAATCGTTTATTGATTTGTGGAGAAAATGGTAGAAATAACGTCCCGCTGTACATGCTTTCCGCTGCTTTTCTTATTGAAAATTAAGCAATTGTGTGTTTTGAGAAAATTCCCATTTAATGGGTTGAAAAATACAGTCAATTATTTTTCTACTTTTTGTTAAATATAATAGAAACAATAAAAAAATGGCTTTAATTTATAAAAATTGGAATTTAATTTTCAACGCAAGTCAAATGCACTCTTTAATTGGCCAAATTATAACTAAATATTTAGAAAAACACCATAATAAATAGGCAATTCATTGATTTTAGTCACAAAAGAGCCATTTCTGTAACCAAATATATTTTAATAGAATATATTCTATTGTTAGCAGAGTTCAATCGTTAGAAATTTAGTTTTCATTCATTTGATAGCTAAAACTCATTTTTTTTTCGAGTCAGATTAACAAATTGAAACAAACATCCTAAAATTGGAAAACCTTTTTAAAATAATAAAGTTTCTTAAGCTTCAAGATTTAATTTGAAGATTTGGTTGAATCAATGCACATGAAATTTTTTCATAATTTTTACAACAGCCCTATCAAATAAAGGGGGATTGTTTTGAAAACATCTATGATTTTCCTATTCTCTTATCAGTCAATTCATTTAAATTTGGTAGAAATTTCTAACCAATTTTCCAATATAGTTTATTAAATTTTTATATCAAATATAATACAAAAAAAATTATTTAAAACAGAACCTTTCATTGCTCTTCAAATTGCTTTAAAAGGAACAAAAAATTATTAAAATTTATACTTTCTCCTCCAATGTGCTATTTTGTGGTTGCATTATAAAGAAGGGTGCATTCGGCATCAGGAAAATGCATTTGCGGGAGGCAAAAAGGATTTAATTTGATTAGCCTGTCTCATAATGGCTAACAAGCTGGCGGGCTTTTGCTTGCGGAGGCCTGCGTGGTGTGTGCGGAAGGGCGGGCGGGACGACAACAAAATGCTGATGATGGGGTCCTCTCGTGAAGCTGAAGAGGGCAGCTTCAAGTAGGCTGCATCCAATTAAAGTCGTACACCACTCGGTCTAATGAGACCCTCGTGTGCAAGACATATCATCATCAGCAGCATCGTTTCTGCCGCTCTGCGTCGTGCACGCACATACATCTACATACGCGCACTCATCCGTGTTTCGCAATTTAATTTCTGCGGAAATACCACTGCCAGTCACTACATAATTTGCCAGTTACCCCAACTAGCTCATTTCGAATAAATAAGGTAAGCTTTCAGGTAACTTTTTATTTCAAAGGCTAAACATTATAAACACAAATCACGTTTGCTGAGTTTCTTATTTTTCTACTTTTGTTGAAAAGTAACTCAACAGGTATAATTAAAAACAAGAATATTAATTGCTAAAAATTTGGTCCAAAAATCTTCCCAAACAAGTCTCACAATAATTCAGAATTTTTAACTTGATATTATTTTATTGTGGAAGAGTTTCGAACTCTACAAGATCTGCGCTGCTGCAACACAAAATTCAATATCTCTGGGAACAACGCATGCTCGGCGTGTACACTTTTCCTCCTTCGGTCTAATCAAGCCCTAAGCTAATTATTTCACGTGAGGAGTCACCGTGCTAACGAGGCTTGATTTGCAGACTGCGCGCCGCAAAAAGGGATCTCGCGTGCAGTCGACGCACGCGAAAAAAAACTATATATGCTCGTGTTCCCTTCCACTCCTCTACATGTGTGTGCGAGTTTATTTATGGGCTCTCGTACTGCGGTTTTTCGCGTAAATCACTCAACATCCAATAATTGATTGTTTGCTTGAGAAACGCTAACTAACATTATTTAGAAAAAATATCATTCTACGCATAATTTTTGGTAGAATAGAAATAACTGATTAATTAAATTAAATTGATCAAATAAAAGGGATGCTGGTAAAAATAATAAAAAAAAAATTAATTCAAATTATTTTACAATTCGTCCGCAGTAACAAACGTGACTAAAAAACAAGTGCACTTTGATAACAGGCACGTAAATGAATTCCCCTTTTCATCAAAACAATAAAATAGGAAAATTATATTTTAATTTTTAATGGGAAACAATGGACATTATAATCTTTTAATTATAGCCGATAAAAAAGGAAACCGCGTAATTACCCTCGTTAATAAATCGGCGATTTTTGCAGGATCGGAACAAATAAAAATAGGAATTAAGCGCAGGTACGTGTGCATTTGTGGCGAGAGGAGGGTCGCTGCCAATTAGGTGCACGTCAAAGGGGCTGGCAAATTACAGAGTGTGGGGATAATTCACAAGCAGAGAGTCGCGGCGGCACCAAAATTCTGTCGACTCGGCGCGATATAAATTGGGGAGCCTCGCACGTAAGTAACCAGAGCAATTTCCATATGGAATCTCAATTCTAATTGCCAATATAGAAAAAGATCCCTTTTCAAACCGAATTAAAAGAAGTCTTTTGCACTTTGATATGAAGTCCGAGTGGAAATGGTCTGTCTGTGTGCATTTGCATTATGTGAACAATGAAATGCACTCCTGTGCACCGCCGCCTTTTGTGCTCTTTTGCCTTTGACTGCTCACCTTGCTGCTGGTGAAATACGAAGGTGCAAAGTTGTTTTTTGCCAAAACAAAAATGGACAGTCTGACAATTTTAAATTATATAATTTTTCCATTACGCGCCAAACTGTTTTGCGACAAGTATCAAACTTTATTCCAAACTTTCATGATTAAAAAAATGAAATTTATTTTAACAAATGTAAAACAACAAAATAAAACTAATATTAAGCATTAATTTTTTTGTGGATATTTTTTTAACAAGGTATAAAGATGCGACAACAAGCCAACTTAAAAAAAAACTGATTTTAAAACAGTTTCAACTTATGTCACATACTCTGCACATAAAAAATCTTATAATTACTACTCCTTTTAACCTTTTAAAATAAGTTAATCTTATTCTGCAAACTTGGTCCCTTGGTCGTCTGCTCTCGATCAATGATTAGTAAAATGTTTCAGTTACTCTAAAATTTTTGTTTAAATAAATATTTTATTTTCAATTCTCTCACGTTTATTCAATACTGTGGACGGCAGAAAAAAACAATTATACATGTAAATGGTAAGAAAAAATTTATACCAAAGTCGCATAAATTGATAATGGAAGAGCTGTTCCAGTGTCATTACAAGAACCGTCTTCGATCTCGCTGTCTTCAGTGGTTTGAGCTGCGGTCATCAAGAAGATCGCAGATATCACCAACGTCAAAAAATTGAGATAAATATTCATTATTGTTCTTCTAGTTGAGGAACGATGATGAGAGATGTTGCTCCGGCCAAGACCTTTAACCCAATAAATTAAAAATAGAGCGCAGACGACTAACTGCGTGACCTGCACTTCTCAGAATTTCCACGCCCAGCAACTTCCGATTATCTTGCCCCTCCAGCTCAAAGATAAAAAGCAGAGTAATTGCGTACAAAAATACAGGGTTTTCAATGACAGAATTATTATTTAATTTCTTCATAATTAACATGGATACAAACTTTAACCAGGTAGAATTTGGTGTATTAATATTAATACTTCTAGTTTCTTCTCCACTATCCGCAGACTCATTGCATGCAGTGGTTGTTATAGCATTTGCAGCCACCTTCAAAAAGAGAGCAGCGAAAAACGTGAAAATGAAACCAGTCTTCAGCTTGCTTAAGTGTGGATCTGTTCTGCTGCAGACCTTTTATTGAAAACTTAATTCTGCCTCTGGACTGGGGCCTAAATACAAGTCACGTGTTGCAAATTTTGCTCGCGCCTAACCAAGAGAGATTCTATTTATCTGCGCACTAGCCTCGCTGCTCTCAACTACATGAAAATAAATTTTTTGAATTATCAAGTTTATTCGAAATTTGAAATGAATTACAATACAAATTTTATCAGGAAACGTATTTATGCTGCTGGGCTTGACGAAAATAAGTATTAACTAAAACCAATTGAAAATATTTTTCAAGATATTTAAAACATGTTTTTTATCTTTGTTTTTAGTTTCTGTGGGTACAGATGATATAAATAATGTTTGAAATGATGATTACGATTAGAGATTTTCTACATCTCTCATGTGACCATTTCACTTTTGACCCCATAGCATGCGACTTTGCCATGCTTGGACGATTTAAACAGCACATTTGTTCCATTTGTTTGTTTTTTTTATATATAAAAATGAAAAAAAAAATTACAAAAAAACGCTTCTTTTCCTGTGATTCAATTGATTTAGTTTAAAAATAAAAAGCAAATTCATGCTAAAATTTCAATTACATTCAAAATTCAAAATAACTAAAACTTGATTACATTTATTTAATATTTCACACACATTATTTAATTAAAATTTAAAAACTATTGATAGATGATAACGATAGGTATTCAAGACGAAGACGCCTGGAAGAAAAAGAATTAAAATAAGAAGCCTTCTCTTCAATATTTATTGTAGACTGCAAATGAAAACAATTAAAAAATACACAAATTATTGTTTAAAAAAAAGGTGCAATTACAATTTTTTGAGCAGTTAAATTGTTTGAATTTCTGCCCTAATTAAATGTCGATTAGGTTTGTTTGACTTTTTTTAAATTTAATTTATTTATATGAATGTGCTAAATTGATGTATAATTACCGGCTATTTTCTCTTCCTCTCATGCACTCATTGAATGATTTGCCTTATTTTTGTTGTCCACTTTTTGAGGTTGAGGTTCTTCTCGAGGTTGTGGTTCTTTGCTTCTAAAACGTTCATGTCGACGTCGAGGCTTGATATGGATATTGAAATTTTATAATTATTTCCAAACTCTATTTTATCACAGCTACCTTTTGAATATTTATAATTATAGAGTATCCACCAGCTGTACTGTCTTGAGGTTCAGTCGTATTCGTCAAACTAGTTTCGCCACAGCTTTCAGCCAAGAGGAGCAAAAACGCAGCAAGAATTGCAAAAATAACAGTAAAAATCTTCATCGTGTTGAAACGACGCTGCTGTCCAAGAAGATCTACTGTTGTTGCAATGTGAATGTTGCTTTTTAGCTCGATTCGCGGCGATGGATACTGAGCGTTCCCCACGTGGCCAAAAAAATTATCTCTCCCGCTAATATTCTGCCCCTCCTGTATCCAAACCACATTATACGTAAATACTGAAATCATCAAATGAAAGGATTAATGTGCTTCCTTTTTTTAAATTTATTTTCACAATATAATTTTTTTAAGAAATAAAATATTGCAAATTATCAGTAATAAATATATTGTTAATTTTGTTTACAAATATTACACATATTAATAATTTTTTAGAGACGAATTTTTGTTCAATAACCAAACAAAAAAACCAAAGCCATAATCTGTTGCAAATTGTTCTTCCTGCGACTGTTTTGTGGAACCTGTGATGGTTAATGAAATTCTGCAATCATTAAATGAATTAAATTTCATAGCAAACAATGAGAAATTTTTATATTTATATTTGTCAATCAAATCCATAACTCCAGCTGCCGTTTGAAGAATTCAAACAATTTGATTCAGTATATATAATTTTTCTAGTATTTTTACAAATATTGAAAGCGAAAACTGCGGCAGTCCGTGTCTGGGGTGTGGGGAAAAAGGAAGGTAAGTCGCGGATGGTGTGCCACAATTTAATTGCGCGCCATGCGGACGATTAGAGAGACGTGTCGTGGCCAAATTGTTGTGTTATTGCCAGCGGAGCGAGCGAGCAAGTCTGCAGGCAGCGCTAGTTGTTAAGGTTTTATCTGGCGGTGGCCCCCGCGCGTCGGCCGGCAGCCCGCAACACCAATCAACGGCGTGCACAGCTCGTTAGTCGCGGATTACACGGGGCCACGTGACGCGAATGGTAAACTTTCTTTGACTTGGCTCAACACACAAATAAACGACACACCAATTTGTCGCCACCACGCGACGACTCAGAATGGATGATTAACGTCGCCGCATTATCATTTATTCTCGAGTTTAATTTCGCAATTATTATTTGGCGCCTTTTGTGCTCTCGCGCGCCTTCATTAAGACTCTCTTCATCTCGCTTCAATTCCAACTTTGGCCTCGCTCGCTCGCTTGCGCGCTTCATCTTGACTCCTAGTTTCGGGGTTCCTAGGTGTTGAAGGTGAGCCATAATCGCGTTGTCTCCGAACTTTGCACGCGAATTTCTGAAGTTTTAACTGCTGCAGTTTTGGGATGAAAATCATCACTGGGTTTCAGTTGATCAATTAAATAAATAATATAATATATTTAAGATGGTTTATCATTTTGTCAACAACTAATCAGCAATGGTTGGATTTCATTTGACGCTGATTTCCGTTCAGTTAGGAAAAAGTAGGTAAATCTCGGATTATTTCTTAATTTGAAGTAAGGGGGTGCCAATTTTTTTTAAAGATGAAATTTTGCTGAATACAAAAAGTCACTTGAGAGGTCAATCGTAAAAAGAAGGAGCGAACAAAGTTTTTAGTTTTTTTAAGTTTTTGATAATTTTTTGGATTTGAATAACTTAAAATAAGAAACTTCAACCAAATAAATGAATAAATTTATCTTTTTTAAATTTACTCTTCTTTATAAACTTTAAACTGACTCTATGTTGGATATTTTTAGATATATCTTTTTAATAAAACAAATAAACTCTATTATTTAGTACAAATCAGATTTCAACTGATCAAGATTTCGGTTTTGAAAGGAGAGACTTAACCCGCTGTTTTAGATTAGATCAAGTTGGAGGAAGAGCAGCTTAGTTTTTGCAGTGCACCGATTTGCTCCACCTTTCTCTCACATTATGTTTTTAATCTTTCATCAAAAGAAGTACCGTTCGTTAAACGACGGGGGGCTTACCTTGGTCGCAGTCCGCCCTCGTCTCGTGTGTAATCACGGCAAGAAAGAAAATCCGCTCGCTCCAGCTCTTTCTGATGTCTGCAGTGTAAACGAGGTGTTAAAAGGAATAAACTAATGGACACTTTATTCCGCAAGAAAAGTGGCACCCTCTGCGTGCTCGGGGTGGAAATTGATGGGCCGCTTTTTGTTTCCGCCTAATCCTCTCACTCGCACTGGTCACTACTTAAGATTTCCGCCGATAAATATACACACACGCAGGAGAGAAAGATGCAGAGATTGGCGGACAGAGAGCTTCTTTGCCCGAGATTAAACTCGCAGTTACTTTCTTTCCGCGTAATTAAGTGCCTCTTATGTCGAGGAAAGAGAGAAAACTGCGCTTTGTTTATTTATCAGATTATTATTTTAAGCGGCTCAACAGCTTGGATTAATTTGCTTGCTTCTTGAAGATGAAAGCGCAAAGATTGAGGATGAGAAAGAAAGAAAGATTGATAGGTGCATAGTAATGTAACCCATCCTGTAGCGTTTCTCAGTTATGGCTAGAATATATTGTTTAAGAGTTTGAAAATTTGCAAAATATTTCCTTTCATGGCATATTTAATTCTGATTCAAAAGCAATATAAAATTAAAGTTAAAATTAAACATGTCTTGAAACTAAAATTTACTTGATCTAGAACCACATCCAACGTTTAGTGGTTTTAAGATACAATAAATATCTTAATTAAGAAATAAAGTTTAAAGGAAAAATAAAAGTAACATTAATTTCATCTAATTCCGTTAAATTAAAATTAAATTTTTAAACAAATCTAAGCCCACAAATTTTTTTATATGGAGAATAAGTTTTTCACAAAAAATGAAACTCTAATTGATTTTAACAATTTTTAAAATGTTAAATCCAGGATCAATTGAGAAAAATGAAATGTTTTATTATATATATAAAAAAATTGGTGGGATCCTGAAATTTTCCAAAAATTTATTGATATCGATTTGATATGCCCCTTGAAAGGTAAGCTCTTGACAGAGTTTGACGGAACAGAATTTTAGCAGCAAATCAGGCCGAGTTAATTTACGTAATTCGAGTCACGCCATTAATTTTTGATCGGACGACCAAAGCAGCGGATGAGATGAGAGGGCACTCGACTGGCTGCTCTCTTCACTCTCTCACAATGTTTTAACAGGGGCAACACGTCACAAAAAGGCAGCATGATTACCTCTGCTACTCTCAGCGCAGCTAAAAGCAACAACTAAGTGCTCCGAGTTAAAGAGAATGACAAATTTCAGCTGATGAGTAGCAAGTCGGCTCCTCACTCTGCAAACACCCACCTAAGCAAGCTTTGTATTTTCTCTTTGTGCCACTTGATACTCACTCGCACACGCACCCACGCCAAATATTTGATTCCCGGGTCATATTTGCATGCTGGCTGCCGCTTAATATTTCATCCGCCAACCCTTCCCTCGCCACTCTTCCACCTTGATTGCCGCCGATCTCCTCAAAGAATAAGAAGCGTCAATGCGAGGAAAGGAAGGAGCAGAGTTAGGCAACCTGCACGACGCTGCTGTCACGCGGAATGCATAGACCCGCCGATCGCAGTTTTCAGTCCGAAAATACAGGAAAAAGTATGAAAACTTTGTAATTAAATTGATTTTTATTCATCAATCTTTTTTTTTAGAAAAATTTCTGCCTTAAAATTTTAATTCCAAGTGATGATATTGACAGTTCCTGCAAAGTGCAATTATATTAGGTTAAAAGTTACTACGTCTCATGGAAGGGTCACCAAAAAAAAAGCTTTGACCAACAAAGTTTTTCCACTTAAAGATTTCAAAATTGTTAAAAAGATTCATCCGACTCCATCTGTTTCGAAGTTACAGTAAATCAACCTTGAAACATTCTTGTATTTGAAAATAATAATAAATATTTTATCTTGTTATTATTTCTGCGTGTTTTAAATCATGTCCGTAAATCAGATCTGCTCTTACAATTAATATGAATTTTGAGGAGGCACGAATCAGAAAAAATTCATATTTTGAGCTTGGAAGTAAATCTAATTTAATATTTGCTAATGAACCTTTGCTACTAGAGTGGATCAAAGGACTTTAATTAGCAGCAGGAATAATGATTTCTTGCAAGAAATCGTCTTACGTTTTTTAATCACGTTTGTTAACGGCGTCACTTAGTCTGGGCGTTTTCGTCGCCGCTCAGCTCCTCCACAATTGAGCAGAAAATTAGGGCTCGTGCTCATTAAGTGAAAAACAAAAGATGAGAGGCAGCGAGACGGCGGAGCTGGCGCAATTAAAAACTAACTGGAGCACGCAAAAAGCAGCAGCAGCGAGCTGAGCAGGCAAACAAAATCATCCGCGCGCGCCGATAATGATAAATGTTCACGCGGCGGCTCGGTCTCAATTAAAATTATCCGTTTCAGCAGTCTCTTTAGTCATTCGTGGGGTTGGAGCGGTGCAGCAGCAGGAGACAGAGAGAGTGGTCCTTTTAACACAGCACTTGCAGGGAGATGCGCACAAATTGCAAACATTCTCAAATTTATAATTTCTTAAATTTATAGATTTTTATTTATTTAATTAATTCATAAATTTATATTACTGGATAATAATATATAATAACAAAAAAATCTTGACCAGACCGTTTTTAATGAGTGGATAAGTTTAATCATTGATTATTTTTGTTTGATAATGGAATATAGAAATGCAGTACAAATTTCTGTTATAATTTGCTAAAAAAGGAATTTTGTATTTAAAACTTTCAATGGCATAAAATTTTGAAATTTACGCTAAATATTTTTTTTTTATTTAAATAACATAATTCGGGTTTGAATCTGTTCCAAAACAAAACATCAACATACATTTTTGATAAGCTAAACCTACCATTTTTTTTCTCTCTTCCATCGACATTTTTGTAAATTGACTGAGAAAAAAAAACTAACATTAATAAAAATAATTACGAAAATTGTGTATTTAAAGAGCCAAAATCAAGCATAAATAGTGAATTTCCCCCCAGATAAGTCATAATTTGGAAAAAAATCGACGTTACACGGAAAACGTGATTTTTTTTAATCAAACCATTTAACCACTAATTATTTTTTTTCTCTTGGCATTAACTCAATTAGACGTGTAGCATTAATTTGTAAAACTTATTATTCATTGTATCAATGGAAACACGCAGCAATTTGGAATATAAATGCGCGCATCTCCGTAAAAGACCTCTGGTCCTTTTTCCTCTCAATTAATTGACTCTGGCGATAATTAAGCAAACGCTGTTAGCTGTTCCCCCACGGCTGGGTTATAACGATGGGCCTGCCTGCTCTCCTCTTTTATTCCACTCGCTCTCTCCCGGTGATGAGGTAATGAACAAGAGACTATATACAAGGCAGCTTTTGTCTGATTAGATGAGGCCTACTGCGCTGCTTAAAACAACACAAAACACACACGTACATACCTGCTCTCGCTCTCTCTATATCTTGCCATATTCATTTGAACATGTGTGGAGGAACGGTCCAGTTTAACGAGAAGCAAATATGCAGTTTGCCGCGCCAACACACAATCTAATTTGATTACGCCGGGGACGCGCGCCCGCCGCCGAAAAAGAGTTATAACGCAATACAAATTCAAATTGCAAGATAGAGAGGAGAGAGAACCTTCCAATTATGATAAATCTCGTTATGCAGGGGGTAAGAATTATATTTTTTTTTTTACGTTTTTTATATAAAGTTCTATAATGCAAATATAGAGTCTATTAACCCCCCCTTAAATTAAATTTACTTACGGGATTATTTTACTTTAAAATTACATAAAAACATAAACAATAGTGTTATTGTTGTTATTTAAATACAAGTCCACAATTGTTACAATCACATTGTTTACACTAAATTATTGAAAAACAATTTGTTTGAAGTAGAAGGAATTGAGTTATTTTTGTTTTAAGACGGCCGTCGTATTAAATTGTATGAAGCATTAAGTTTGCTTAATTTAAAACCAAAGTTTTTGAAGATTAAGTTTCTCGCCGATCTTTCTTGAAATAAAATAATTATATTTTACGTATCCAACGCAGAAATCAATAAAAATAAGGTGACATTTTGAGTCACATTTTTCATCCTCTCTGCTGCGCTTTTTACACATTTTAATTTTAATCTAAATATTTCAATCATATTAAACTACCGATGGACTGGAACTTTTCATTTTGATTTTATATAGATATAAAATATAAGTATAATTATATTTTTCTATCTATCAGTTTAACCATTTTCCCTATAGATTTCCAACTTGAGGGCCCCTTTCATTTTAGAAGAGTTTTTTTCCTTCTTTATTTTTTTAACGCTCTTGTCTCTTTCTCTAATGTAAGCGGATCTACCCTCTGAGATAAAAAGCGTCATTTAGTTTTATCCTCACACACTAGCTGCGGGTCGTCAGCAAAAGTACAAATGCGATCAATCCGTCTGCTGCAATCTTGAGGGTTAACACCAATCCATTAGTCGAGCGAAAACACGTTGAATGGGGGTGGATGGGTCCGTCGGTCGCTCGCTCGCGCGGTGAGCAAATTCATTCATACACTGATATGTCAGGGCGGATTGATCAACAGGGGGCGGAGTCGGGAGACTTGTTCAGCCCCGACGAGGTCCATCGCGATAGAGAGCGACGAGTGCATCAATTGACGAGAGTAGATAGAGATAGAATGTGTCCAAAGAAGTAAGCGGTTGCTAATGAGACTCTCTCGGCGCAGGGGTGGAATATCTGATTTGCACCTCCCTATCAAAGACGTTGCCATAAATCACCCACCTTCATTTATCAATGGTGGTACGTTTAATATTCATCCAATTTTATATAAACTTTATCAAAGCAACCGTGGACACATTCCAAAATCATCATTTTTTTAACTATACAAACAATACAAAACACAAAAATCATAATTAACCAAAATAAGATTTTTTTTTCTTTATTACTTGAGTAGAATAAACAACAATCAACTTAAATAATATTATTATTATTATTGTTGTTTATTTGTCCAAATTGTTACATCACATTGTTTACATACAGATTGTTGAAAACATTTATTTGGAAAAAAGAAATTGTTGGACAAAACGGCACCACCACTAGCAAAAATTTTGCTAAAACTTCCGAGGCCAAAAAGACCCCATCCGCCGCAGTGAGCCTTTATAAAAATGCATTTCAGCAGCTAATACTTTAATTTTGGACTCTACTTCAGGTTCATAATTGACATGCCAAATTTGATCAAAATCGCAGCCAGGCACCTATAAATGTTCCCTTTTAAGTACAATTTTTGATCTTTTTTTTTCCAATTTGTTTCATTTAAAAGTTTACAGCAGAAGTTTAAAGCAGCACAGTTTGGCTATTTTTCTTTGGGTTTCAAATGTTAAAAGAGGACTTTTTACCATTATTGTCGAAGCGGATAGCTTTTAATTTTTTAGAGCTAGACCTCCCACTTTCAATAATATTTGAAGCCTTTCAAACAGCAATAGTTGCAAACCCAACATTATTTCTAAAAAAAAAAAAAAACGCTAAATTTCCGCGGTAGGGTTTCTTCAACAAACTCTAATTAAAATGTGTCATAAAATTGGCGGTATGAAATAATTTTTATCTTTACATTCTCAAAAATCAAAATTGAATGTTAAAATAAAAAAAATTTATAATTTTTTTTTTTTTTTTTTTGTAAGGAAGACGCGTTAAACAACACTTCCAAATTGTTTTTTTTTTTAAATTAAGCGATTTAACGTGAATGTTTTCTTGCCAAATAATATAGTTATGTACATTTTGTTGTTGGAAGACTCAGCCAAAATAGGTTTAATTTAGTCTAAAAGCGGTTAAAATGATTTAACTCTTCTTTTCCATTTTCCATTTTTTTTTTTTTTTTTTTTTATAGAAAAAGAACAATTAAGTACAATAATTTTTGAGGAGAATTTTAGCGAATGAAAAATAAGAATGGGTTTCTATAAAAATAGCATGGGTGACCTTTTCCTGATTTGTGGTCAGATTTATCCTGTTTGGGCTAAATCAGGCAATAAATGATTTTAATAGACAAAAGAATTTATAGAGCATGCTACTTATTTTAGAATGTGTACATAATAGAAGAGTATTTTCTGAACATAAATTGTAATATATTTTTGTCTCTTTTTATTTTGGTTCCAATTTATTTACAATGCAGAAAGCTGAGTAGAGCAATATCCGCAGATAGAGAGATAAGTGCTGGCGTTTGTGGCGTGCGGCAGGGTAATGGTATTCAAAATATCTCCGCCCCCTTGATGTCCCACGGCCGGATTGATGACGCCGCGTCTTTTTTATCTTTCCACTCTCATCCTCAACATGTTCCTCTTGATTAAATTGTTCATTCGCTCGCTCTCGTTCGCCCGACCGCAATTTCCCCTCATAATTCAAGAAAAAGCAAAACCCAATCTCTCTCCGAACTAGCGTCTCTGACGCTTTGTCTATATAGAGGGTTGAATTGGAGACAATAAATATGGTAAATTTTTTTGCAAAAATTGAAAGTCGATTAAAAAAGAAACAGTTAATTTTTCTTTTTTTATTTATTATCCTCACAAGTACCAGCCAAATTAGTTCAACATTAATTAATGAGTTACATTAAATCGATTTTACGGTACACTTTGCCAGAGAGTGAGCCAAAATCAAGGTTGAATAATCAATATTTTCAAAGCGTGCGTTTAATGCTCTTGATAATTTACTTTCCAAAAAGGACTGTTGGATATATTCGGAACAAAAATTAGTGTAGACATGATCACAACCTAACATCACATATATCTGAAAATGAGCAACAAAACAAAACTCAACAAACATATTTTCATCGATTATGAAAAATGTATATGTGTGTGTTTAGCATATATTACAATTTTTTACATGTTTGTGTTCTTTGCGAATTCCAGCCTTTTCGATAACGCAAACTTTATATTTTGGTTAAAATTGCAAAGGTCAAATAGTCCTTTTTTGCTGTAACAAGTCAAACTGCAACCCTCTTGGCCCTCTCCTTCAATTGTTTGAAAAAGTAAATGAATTTTTCGGGGTTGACACAAAACTTCTCTATCAATATTCATACTGTTCTGGACATTATTCTCTCGTCTAGACTAACTAATGCCTTACCCAGTACATGCATGCCATACTTAATTAACTATCCAATAGTTATTACACAGAGCGAGTAATGCCTCTCCACCTAGAAACAATTCCCCAACCAAGATTACAGTTCACTTCGCCCAAGTTAATTACATTTTTAGTCGATATGAGCCTTTTTATACAACCAATTAATTTGTTATATTCTCCCTCCTTCTTGTCTCTTTTTCTAGACTAGTGGAAAGCTCCAAGCACAGCTCTAGTTCAATCAGGTATTTATGCAGCTTCAGTAATTTTTACACAAACTCGTACTTCTTCAATACACAATTTATGTTTGGATGAATTTAAACTTGGGGAGCTTCCTTTCTTTTTCTTTTTAATTTACTTGAAACCAAACTGCATAAAAGGCACAAGCTTCTGAGAAACTTCACTAGAAAGAGTATCATATTAATCTGGTATTATACATTATATTCTTGTGGCGATAAAAGTCATTAATCATTTTTATGTAAGCAACAATTAATTTGATCAGTGATTCAAAATCAAACTCTAAATCTAGTGCAACTCAGTGGCTTCATCAAATATTTTGTAGATACTATCTTAGGAATGATGGCTTACATCATGCATGCATGACAACAATCTCTAAATGAACACAAAATTTTTAATCATGGCAAATTAATCGTGAAAATTAATTCTGGCTGCTGCTTAAATTTCACGATGAGGATTTCCATCAGTTATCTATACATCTAACGTTTTTACTTGCAATCAATCGATTCAAAATATGGCACCGCAAGATTTTCGGTCAAGTCTCTTTGGAAAAGCATCAAAATTAAGTGTTAAATTTACCCTCAAAAACAAGTAAAGTACCCTGCACGTTAGTCTATAAAATTAAGCTCTTAAACAAAACAGCAGCTTGGATTTATATTTCATCTACAGTGATGCAGATGCTGGAGATAAAAAAAAGAATTATGTTGGAAAATGGCTTTGGGATCAGTCAATGTTGGGAATGAGAGTTGAAAAATAATTTTGAGGGTTTCCCTGATCCAAGAATTTCAAAATCAAATGACCCAGTTAAACTTATAAAATTAACAACATAAAAAATGAGAATTATTCTCATAATAAAAAAAACTCAGAGAAAAAGTGAAAAGCTTAAGAGGCTGTGACTATCTATTAGGTACAATCATTCGAATTAAGTCATCTCTCACCAAACCAATGATGAACCACCTTACTATGAATATATACATTATATATTTCGGCTTACCCAGTTCGACGCATTAAGATTATTATTTAAATCCAAGAAGGCAGACTAGAGACTACGTTGTGGCCTAGAAGCTTTTTTCTTTCACCAATTTGATTGTTGCTTTTTTCGTAAATTCTAGCAGAAAGATTGGGAAAAATGTGTGGAGGGAGCAAGAAACTGTAAAGTTACTCTTGTGCACCAATAAAAGCAGATTTGAAGGACTAGACTAAAGACCGAGGAGAAACAGGTGACTTTCGCGGATGTCAGGACTCGTAGAGGAGGCGCTGGTAGTGCGGCATCACCTCCCAGGTTGGGATGTGCAGGCTGAACTCCAGGGCCACCAGCACAGCAAACTCGGATAGTAGCAATTCTCTGCGGTTCAGCCGGAAAACCAGCTCTGTTTTCTGAAAAAAAGAATTCCAAAGTTATTATAACAAGAATAAAAGAAAGAATTGGGATTGAAAGTAAGAGAGCTTTTTCTCTTTATTTCATACAAGATTTATTAATTAGAATTAAGATTAATGAATTAATTTGCCTCTATCAGTTGTTTCAAAATGTCGCCCTTGACGTCATTCAGTTTGGCTGAGAGCAGCAAACACGCCCCAGCGCACAGCTTCCTGTTTGGCTTGTTGATGAGGCTGCGCAAAATCAGTTTTTCGAAGTAGACATACGCCTGGGCTACAGTCAGGAGGTCAATGCCACACTCCTGTTTGGCTATTTTTTTCATTTCCCTCTTCAAACTGAAATATAAAAATGTGTTTTTCTAGAAAAAGAATCCTCAAATAAAAAAGAACCTACCTGCGTAACTTGCTCAAAGTGAGCTGGATGTGCGGAAACTTCTCTTTGAACTTATCATTCAGCTCCTTTTTCAACTCTGCTGGCTTTGTGTAGCCAATCAGGGAAGTCTGCAATTAAAAATAAATAAAAAATTTAATTATAAAAGAAGATTACCATTTAATTTTTCAGAGTAAACCGTTAATTTTATCAAAATTTCAAAAGTTCTAAGTTCTAACCATATAAGAGGAAAAAGTCAGGAGAGTCCTGTGATGCCCTGTCACGTTTTCTGGGTCGTCAAGCAAGTTCGGAGAATATGTTGGAGCCGGCTGCATCATCTGGGGCAGAGAATGGGTGCTGAAATTCTCCCACTCGAATGCTGCTGAGGAGAAATTTTTTATTTCAATATTTTCCTATTTTCTCAAAAACAAACTTACCCTTATCATGAGGCTGTTGGGGTGTTGGTGAGGCCGGCACCACATGCGCCGTGGTGCGGTGAGAAGCCGTGTCGTAAGAGTAGCACCTGGGAAAACAAATCCTCTTGTCAATTACAACCAGAGACACTGGACGCAGATAAAAAGATTAGTGTGTAGCATGCAATTATCTAGTGGAAGTCAAACGTGGAGTCAGTCATTGTAATTGGTTAAATGTACACTTTAGATTGTGCACACACAAAAGAAAAAGAAAACTTAAGCAAAGATTGCATGCAATCTACAAGAACTTTGGTCAACACCTTTTTGGCTCCTATAGGTCTGTATAGTTTAAAAAACTTATCATAGCGATTGCAGATAAAAAAAAAAACTTGTGATTTTGTATTAATTTTACATATTTCTGTAAGTGACAAAGGAAATCAGTAGTGAATCGAAATAAAAACTGACACAATATGCCACGCTTCAACTGCAGTGAAGTTGCATGAACAACTTGATAAGATCCAAAATAAATGACAGAGCCAATAATTTACTAGGAATAAAGGTAATATTTTGTAACATTTGGGTCAGTCGCATTATTTTTAACTATTCTCAGCAACAAAAGGGTTAAAAATATCTGTATCCAAAAAAAGGAAGTGAAAACAAAACTGGAACGCTCCAATACACTTTTCGAAATTAGGAGAGACAAGAGAAGTTTTTTGTTTGGCGTGTGCGTGCAATCAACAGAGTGGGTTATTATTTCACAAAGTATTGACCAATGTCAATTACAGAGTGGAGATCAATGTTGGCGGGGTGGCGAGCAACGTGAGCCGCGGCACTTTTGAGGCCTCGGGCCGTTTGTTTTGCTGCAATTAGGCTGCCCGTCGCTCGCTCGCTCCGAAACATGCATGTTTTGTTTACCAGATAAAAGTGACAGACTCGTGGATTACGCGTAAGTGTTTGTTATTCCGTTTGCTCGCCTCTGGAGCAAACACAAAATAATAAGAGAGAGCACCTTTTTATCGCCTCAGTCAGAGGGGACGGGGATTAAAATTATGTTTGGCCTTCTGTGTTTAAAGAGAGAAAAGATGGAGGAGATAACAGAAGAAGAATCAGAAGTGCCTCTTATGCAATTTGTTTCTTTGTTTGAAGGTGCTATTTTCATTTTCAAATTGGAGTCAAGCTGTCTGCAGAGCAAAAGACAATTTTTTTTTTAAATCATAAGGAGAATAAATTCCACAAGGTAAATTAAATATTAAATTCAATCACTTAAAATTTTGAAATTTTATATTATGGTTCTATCAGGTGACAATGCGGTGCTTTTTGAAAAGAGTGAGTGTGTTAATCATATCAGTCAATTAATTGTTTAAGTAAAGAGAAGAAGTAAAAACAAGAGATAATTAAAGCCACACTCTAGGTCTACAAAGTGTTTAAAGCATAGCGTGTAAGCCTTTTCAAAAATTTAACGAAAGTTTGAATTACCATTTATTTTCCACATTATATGCAGCTAACTCTGGCCTGTAATAGAACGGACAACAAGAGAGACACACAGATTAGAGAATAATAAAAGCAGAGAGCAGTCGATCATACTTCAAAGGTCAATAATGCCTGATTGTTGAGACAATGAGTGTTTCAGATGCACAGCGAATGTGTAAGGAAATTTCATAAATATGTGAATTATAAATGGGCATGGATCAATTAGTCGAGTATAGCGGTGCGGTCAAAACAATGGAAATGTGCTAGGGCACACAAAACTGCATTCAACATTGAGTAGAGACAAAGAAAGACACAAAATGTGATGAGTTTTATTGAGTTATTCGTCAACTATGAGAAAATACGAGACTATAACGGACCAAAAGTTAAATGTTTAAAATAGCTGAATACGACATTAGCTCTATATGATTAAAAAAAAAATTAACTACCTGGCCACCACAGGGTGGCGTCCAATAGTGGCAGGGGCTGCAGTTGTGGTGTCAGGCGCTTCTGAATAGTCGGCGGACAAAACTTTGCGGTCGAAAATGTAGTGACGAGATGGGACTAATAGCTGTCCGTAAGATATTTCCTGAAAACGAAACGCGGCTTGAGTAATTCAATTAAAGCGAGTGGCCAGCCAGCAAGCGTGAAAATAAATCGCTTAACTTGATTGGCTGAACGCCAAATTCTTGGATTGCTCCAAAAACCTCCCTAATTAGAGGCAAATTCAGAATTAGCTTTGACGCAAGTGGATTTGGCAGCTTCCGTATAAAATTACGAAAACGAACTCACTTGCAAATTCGCGATACACATTTTCATGCGACGATACTAACAATATGTTGAAATGTTGCTTTTTGAAATAATTTAGATTTGCCATATTATCACAGATGGCCTTCGTACAAGCGACTTTAAATGAGAAAATCTCTGCCAATTTTGCTCAAAAGTCCTTAGCATAAAATACAAATTCTAATTTAACTCATTTAGAGGAAAAAGTTTAATATTATAAATTAAAAATTCGTTGGTGTTAAATTGTCATTTAATGCAAATTTTTGTACCTGTCCATCTTTGCCCTTCTCAACTCCGAGAAGATCGAAGGGGTCGCTGCTGTCGTTAATCACGGACAAAGGTCGCGGTCCGGACGTGTGTCGCCGACGAATGTCCTTCTTTCCGTCACTCCTTTGAGAGCAAAAATCAAACAGCGATTAAATTCAAGGTTGGAAATAATTGTGAATGTTTATAGAATTTTTGGCACCAGTTGTCCCATTTGATACTGACAGTAGTACTGACCTTCCAGTCTTGTTGTAGGGCAGCGCGGAGAAGACGAGGAAGGGGGTGGCCTTCTTTGAGGTGGTGACGAAGCCGCGCTCGTCGTCCGCCGGCTGCGACCCACCCTTGCGCGGGTTGGACAGACGCAGGCCGCGGCCCAGACCTTCAGGCGATGTGCCCGCCGCGAACTGGATGCCGGCCAGAGGCAGCAAATTGCTCGGCGAGGCCTTGCCCCGCGCTGAAAAACGCACACATGCTTGTAACTCTCTCACTAATTATACACTTGGAATAGAGCGAGACACTTAAGTGCTCTGACAGATTCAACATTATTCAGATGTGTATGTAAAATCAAAATTCAATGGCGGAAAACAGTTTATTTGAAACTATGTGTTCAATCAATCCAGAAGCAATTGATTTTTTTAGCAAAATTAGAATATAAATAATTATGATTTTTTTAATTTTTAAACAGGAGTTAATTAAGATTTGGACTTGTTTTGATTATTATTTAATTATTGAAATTATTGATTCCCTGAAAATTAAAACAGTTTTCCTGACTGATTTGTTGGCCAGAGTTGGATATTTTTACAATTTTAACTGGTATTATTTCACAAAATATTTTCACAAAATTATGAAAACATTTGATTGTGTAAAGAAATTAAAACCCACAAAATGCAAATTTTTCCAATTAATATTTTTTTTCAAATAAAAATTTCTGGAAAACTGAAAATTAGCATCAGTTGAAATAAATTATAAATTTAATAAGTTAATTTCATAAAACTAGCATAAAATTAATAATATGATTTGATTATATATTTTTTCTTTTAGTAATTTGGAGTAAAGGTGGCTTTGAATAAAGATCAATATTTAATATTATGAAATGTGTATCTAAATTTTATTGTTAAATTTTCTTTTAATTTGTATGTTTTTCAAATGTAGCATATAACTATTATAAGCAATTTTTTGCCCAAAAATTGACATTTTTTTATCTATTGATTGCAAATTACTGCGCTTACTGTAATTTCCGCCAATGCTCTCGTTGCTGCTGTACTTGTCTTCGACAGGGGGGGCTTTTTTGCGGCCGAAGGAGCCAAGCCGCCTCCTTATCTCTCCGCCTCCGTCGCTTCCACCTGTCTGCGTCCTGAAATAGATCCAAAGTGGTTTCAATTAAAATAGTTAAATTGCAAAATTTTCACTTCTTGCGAACACGCAACTGCGCACTTCTCGCACAGCAGCCTTGCTTTTCCATTGTTACGACTGGTTTGTTTGCTCCACGCTCTATCCATCCCACTTGATCGTTTTTGACAGAAAAACCAGTTTTCGTTTGAAATAAAATAAATAGAGCTGCTGCGGAGAAGTGCACATGCGATGTTGTCGCCAAACCGCGGAAAGTTATACTTGGGTTTGCGTCAAAATAGCAGGAATAAAAATAGAAATTCCCTAGCCAAGGATAGAAGTTTTAAATAAACTTTGTTTCTATATTTTTTTTCTGCTGGCAAAAAGTTATTCATTAGAAAAATAACTTTGAAAATTTGTTATTAATTAAGTTAAAAAGATACAAAAAAGAAATCAAAGCAGATTAAGTATTAAATCTAATGAAAAATTTTCGATCTAAAAATCGATCATTGATTTCAAAATAATCCTTTCAATTTCTAATTTCTATCTGGACGGTTACATTTAAAATTTTCAAATTAAGCTCACGCGGCTTGTATTGAATTGCATTTTCATGCAATTGACTACTCTTAATGATTTAAGGCTGCCTATGTTTTGTAATCATGGTATGATAGAAAAATCATACCATGTGATGCTGATAATCTTCTAACAATAATCTTTATGATCCTTCAAAGAACAACTTTACACCTTATCTGATTAAGTCAATGATCTGATAAGGAAAAAAGTTTTTTGTCCTAAAATTCTAATGTTTGAAGGACGAACTAAAATAAATTTATCTCAAATTATCACGTTTGTTGAATTTAAATATAAATCTCAAATATTTATATTCATATAAGTTAAACTGACGAATATTATAATTAGAGAACAATCTGACAATTCTCTTAAACTTTTTAATACTGTGAAAAGGTATTATTTTTCTATTAAAAAAGGGTATTTTTTTCCCGTAACCAAAAGTTTCAAGAGCAATATTTGAATTTGATTTGAAACTAATTTTATTCAAATTTTGTGATTTTAAAAGTAGATAACAAAAAAAATTCCATTATAATTAAACAAACTTGAAAAATTGAATAAAGCTTTGCATCGTTTTTTTTCTTCCGGAATAAAAAAAAAACAAAAAAGAATTGAAAAATTCAAATGGTTAGTGTATAAAATGTATATTATTATCATTAGGAAAATTATTATCAGCACATTGATTTATATAATCTTAAGAAATTAATATCGGAAAATTTGTTTGCCAAAAATTTGGATATAACAAATCAAGCCATTTGAGTTTAAAATTAAAAACATTCTAAAAAATAGGTGATTTTAGCTATTTTTAGCATAACTAATATTTTGAAATTTTTGTGTTCCAGCAGCTTTGTTTTTAAAAATTGTAAATTTTATATTAATATAATCGGCACAATTTAAAACTCCAATTAATTAAAAAATCAATAAAGTTCTTCCGCAATATTAACTGTTGAATTTCTCACCTCAACTTAAAATTAAGATTTATATCAAATAAAATCCTGGAAAAAAATTGAAAATATTGAATAAAAAGTAAAATAAAATCTCCGGCAAAAATCAGCTGATGGTTGCGTGCGGGAGGGGGAAGGGCGAAAGGTGAGCAAAGGTGGTTGACCTTTCCCTGAAGACAGTCCTGGGCAGCTGGGCGGCGTCGATGGATTCGTCGGCGCCGCAGGTGTTGTGCTGGATGGAGGCGACCACGGGGGCCACGGGGCCCGGCACCGCCCCCCTCGCCTCCTCGGGGGCCGCTGCGGAGGCGGCGGCGGCCGGGGGCTCGTTCTCGACGCCCATACTGCCGTCGTCGTCGTCGTCCTCGTCGACGTCGGCCTTGGGCAGCGCCGGGCCGGCGGCTTCATCGCCCGCGGCGCCGCTGTACGAACCGTCCAGGCTGATGTTGGACAGGAAGGCGATCGCCGCGTTTCGTCTCCGAGTTTTGTTGCTAGTCCGTTTCGCGGCACTCGTCATTTCTGCACCACTAACTTCACCCCCTGTCACAAAACACGACCCGACATCCACTGTCCCGGACACCCTAGCTGTCTGCAAGTCTGCACAGCTCGTCAAACACTCGCTATGTGCGCGCGACCGACTCGTGTGCTGTTCTGTATATTTATAATTTTCACCCAAGGTTTATCAAAATCGAATGGCTCGCTTTTTTCATTCTCACCACCACCGAATGCACGCCAGAGACATCTACGGGCACTCCGGACTCACTAGACAGACAAGCTGCTGGCGCCGCCGAAATTCATTGCATTAAAATAATTGCAAATAATGCAAAGATAAATTAATTTATTATTTGAGAGTATTATTTGACGTTTGGCTGTTGGCTTCAATTTATAAATAAAGTCTGATGAAAATTAATTTTTCATTGTAATTCTTATGAAACTCCTTTTTTATCGAGAAAAATATTTTATCATTATCTTCTCTCTGAACATAATTATATATTATTTTTATATTATATTTATTTTGTACATATTTATTTAATTGAAGTCTCAGTATTTTCTCTTCTTTTGATATAACAACTCTCTGGCAAAAGTTTTATTATTAAAAATTATTTAATAACAAACATCTAAAAATTCTATTCTGCAATAGTTTCTCCTCTTTTTCTGCAAGCATAAAACACGCCAATAATTTATCAACTAAATAAGTCAAATGATAATTACCTAATTCCTAATTTGTAATTGTCTTATAAAAATCCACGCGTTATGTAATAAAGTGCAAATGTAAATCAGCTAAGTTAATACAATTAAAATATAAGAATCACCTAGACGTGAAACATGACTGTGAGAAATCTATGATAATCAGAATAAGCTCCACAATTTAAATCGGTAAACAAGTTCTTACAATTATAAACATCTGCGCCTAATTTTAATACATAATCAATCTTTGACATTTAATCGCTGTTTCTCTTCCATATTTAATTCAACATTTATTCCGCGTCCGCAGTAGGCGCAGTATTATGAGTATTAAAGAAAAATGAAAAATTATGAATTATACTACTTAAATTAATAACTGATTAAAAGTGTATTTCCGCGTCTATGCACGCTAATAAAAGATAAAGTAATCATAAGTTTCAAAGTTAAGCAAATGTTTTAGAGTACATTAGGAATTAGGAAGCAATTAATATTTTAAAATCTTCAATAATTATCAATACTCCATTATTCTAAAACTTAATAGCGCTTATTAGCAATCTTTGTGTAACAACCAAAGATTCATTTTTAACCATTATCGTTTTTGGAATAGACTAGATGTTTAACGTTAACATTATATTATACTAGTCTATAAGTAAATAGAGGTTATAGAAAGCGGCTTTAATTTTGGACAAAAATTAATAAAAATAAGTACCAAGTTTTCTATTGCTGAGCATAAAATTAAAATCTCACTAAAAATATTGATTTTTTTATAGTTTTTAATCCTCTTTACTAATTAATCAATCAATTTAAATATTTTCTTCAATAATTTTTAACTCAAAAATGTATATTATATATTATCTTTTTAGTTCTTTCTTTATACAGTTTAGACAATTCTGGCGTCATTTTCTTTAACATGTGTTTACAAAAAAACATATTACTCACAAAATTGTTTTACTTCCTATTTAATACTTTCATATCACACATAACGTGACGTTAATTTTGCGGTCAATGACTGACCACAGAGAAAATAAAAATGCACCTCCTATTGCTCAACTGATTTCTTCACTTAAAAGTACTTAAGTGCACGCCAGTCAATCTCACTAAATTTTTGAAAGAAAATAAATGCAAGACAAAAAAAGCAATCGTGAGTCACAAAAATGAGTTGCGTGTTTTATTATGCAAATAACAAACTTTGTTGTGACGGCCGGCGTGAGTCATTGGAATTTCATTCAGTCCCTTCTGCATAGACTGATTTCCAAAAGCTGCCGTACTTTCAGTTATTCATATAATTGATTGAAGTGCAATAATTTAATAGCTGATTCACTGCAAACGTGTGCAAACAATTAAGTCGTAAATGTTATACATCCATTTTTAATTAAAATTAAACAACGTTTTTATGGCTCTAGCGGCTGGTACGCTCTCTTTCAAAGAAGAGGGTGCTGTGCTTTAGCAACTTGTTTGCTAGCGAAAAGCCATTTCTCAATTCACCCACTCCCTAATTAATAGCATGTCTCTTTAATGTTGACTCCAATTAAATAAAAAAATTATAGATTTTTACAACAGTGACAGGTCCAAAATGCAAATTATTTATGTATTTAAGAATCAAAGAAAATACCACACCCGCGCCGGCCCTCTGTATTGTTAATCTTTTCTTAAAGCTTTTTATAATTAAAGCAAAATTTTCCTTCAGTTTTCCTTTTCATAAAATTAAAATATTCCAAATTGATGGGAGCGAGAAATACAATCTAAATTAAAAAAAAACTGCTTTCTAAGTATTCGTTTTAATGAAAAAAAAGTAAGGTGTTAAGCTGTTAAGCATTTTCCTTGCAGAGGGCGATTGTGGTCAAGCTTATGATTCTGTGGTCACCACAAAAGTAAACATATCATACCACCAATATTTTGAGCTTCCTTCCCTTTTAATATATTTGTGACTATCAGAAACAAACTTAATATGTTCCTTTTCCCCATTGAGTTAATTGATTTTTGTGTAATATTAATTTATTTCATTATGTTCTCCATTTCCATTTAGTGAAAAGAAGTGATCAATAATATTCAATCATCAAAATTGTATGGATAGAAAGTTTTACACCCCACTCATTAGAACTTAAAACTCGAAAAGCGCATGATGAAGTGGACGCGGATTTTGTGCGTCTTCTTAAGCATCCGAGTGCCGCACGTGACGAAAATTGCGCGAAACTGGAGATGTCTCTTCACAATTTACGAAATTTTGATCGTCGCGTTCACAGCCATGAATTTCATTTTGGCTACTCATATGACCGTCACATTATTTCAAACAACAAAAGCGTTTTTCATTTTCATCTGGATGTCCGTGACCATAACAGGGACGTTCTGCATGTTCTTCTTGTGCGCTGCTTGGGCCGTGAAGAGAAAGGAGTTAGAAAAACTGGCCGCTTCTGGCATTTATCTTTTCCAAAACCGAGCAATCAAAGATCATCGCCACAAATTTTTGTCACAAGCTAGGAAAAAACTGAAAAATATGTTTCTTGCATTGTTATTTTTAATAGTTACTGTCGTTAATGTAAATGGCACACTATCCATAAAAATTAATGCTGGCTCAAAAATGAAAATTCAAGGGAATGATTCTCAACTGGCAAGCAAAAATAATCTTGAGCAGAAATTCATGTCACACAAAACGTATGGCAGAATCGAGTATTTAATAGTCACTTTCATAATCGTCTTTTTCCTTAACATCAAATTCATGGTGAAACAAATTTTATTGCTTTCTTTGTTTTTTTTATGTGGCGGAAAATCAGGGCGTTGACCAACAAGGCCAAAAGGACATTTACACGAGGCAAAGGGTCAGAGATGGACGTCTGGCTTCAGCACCTCACAGATTTGGGAAGGTTTGTTCAAAACTTTATTTAAACTTACTTAATTAAAATTTCTTCAATGTAAAAATTTGCATATAGATTTATGAAAAGAGCTAATGGTATCACTTCTAGTTCTCTCTTATTCATGACTCTGAACGACTTTTACACTTTGTGTGCTTACAGTTACATGACCGCAAAGGTATCAGATAAATTATACAATATATTTTAAGTGGATGGAACCTTGTCTCAGAAGATTGACAATATATGAATTTAATATTGAAAATTGACAAAACATAAAATTTTGTTTTTATAGTTTTTATTAAATTTCTTTCTAATTGAAGCATTTAATAAAAAAGCTTTCATCCATTTTAATTGCCTTAAAACGCTTAAAACCAATTTTAATTTAATTCACTGCCTCTTATTCAAAGGCAGAGGGCAATTCATCCACTACTCTGGTCTTGCTCAATTCTTTTTTGATGACTCTGTTCCATGCTTGGTTGGCCAAAGAGTGAAGGAAGCTATGAGAAAATAAAACCAAAACAAAAAACACTTTATAAGAGTTTAATTGTAAGCTGAAAATTTGGCCGACGAGATATTGTTAGTTTCTGTTCCAAACGAAGATGTGGTTTGCTCATTCATTCGCAGCATGGTGGTGTTTTAATACATTTCCAAATAATTTAATTAATTAAATCACTTACTCTAATTGATTAATATTTTAATTCGAACTCTTTATAATACAAAAAAAAAGTGCAAAGGTATTTTTACACGCCCTCATTGAAAATTGAATTTAATGTATAAAAGCATGATCGCAATTATTTATAACCCGTTTCAATAAATTTCTGCAACCTGGCATTCACGGATGTCCAGCAGGTTGCATAAATTGGTATACATCGTGCTTGTTATTCTTTCCCACTACTCCTATTGATTTTTCCCCGTGACATTTACGTAAATAGGAACAAGTGCAGCGTGGCAAAGTTCAAGAGCACTCGAGCCCAGGTTGTTGAGTGGATTTGATGCTGCAGCACGCCAAGGACGATCAATTATTCACTGCTGCAGAGATGAGAGAGCACAATTTCTTTGCCTCTAGGTCAACTTTTGCATAACATTCTGTGATGCTGAATTTCCGCAGCAATTTAGTTGCAAAAGTAAAAAAAATCCAACAAATTTTTTTTTAAAATATGAATCCATTTAACATTTAGCAGAGCTGGAGAAGTATAATTATAATAACGAAAAATAAATAATTGGAAAATAAAGTATTTTCATTGTAATGAAAGGATGCAATATTAAAAAATAGGCAAAGTTAGTTGCTTATATTTCCGTAGTTACACGCATTTAAAAAAATTTGTTGAAAAACGCTGATTTATTAAATGGAGGAAGGTTGCATTATTCAAATTATTTTGATGAAATTATGCAAGCTCCTGTTCAAAAACTTTGCTATAAGATATTATGTTTATTTATATATTTTCAATTAAATAGTAAAACGCTGATCAATTCTCACAAGTTTCCCTTTCGATTATTCATTCCAAATATTCAAATCAATATTTTTTATATGTTAATTATAGTAAACTATCGACCCTTTTTAAACTAAAAATATTGTAAATAATTTTAACCGAGTTAAATTGAAGAAGAGCGAGTAATTATTATTTGAAAATTTCTGAAGAACACATAAAATAAAATTTTTTTATTTGTTTTTACTTATTTATACATATAAAATTAATTCCATCTCTAATAAATTAAGAATTATTTAGAACTTCTTTTGATGAGAACAAATTATTTTCAAATCTCAATTTTAAGAATATTATTCAAATTGAATTAAAACAAAATAGTAAGATACCACAGCCCCTATAATAGATAAGTAAAACGAGAAATCAAATGTGAAAAATCCTCCCCCTTGCAATCGAAAGTTCCTTTGGCAGGTGAAGACTACCATATTGCGAATTGATGAGCTAACCACGTCGTCATTTCGAACAGGAACTAGCAGAATCTTGTCGGCCAAATCCTCAGCCTACAGGTTGAACTTTAGTCAAAATATTTTTTAAGAGGTTTTATTCGCTCACCGCTTCCTTCACTCTTTGGCCAACTAAGCAAGGGACTGCACTGCGTAAGGCAGCCATCAAAAAAGAGATGAGCAAGACCAGAGTGGATGAATTGTCCTCCGCCTTTATATTAGACGCAGTGAATTAAATTAAAATTGGTTGAAAGTCAGTTAAAGTAGTTGGAACCTTCTATACTTTATTATTTTATTATTTGTTTAGCAATTTATTTAATTGAATTGAATAAAAATTAAAATATTATTAAGAAATTGTGCTAAATTTTAAATAATCATAAATTCATATTGGGCCATTTTACATCTTACGACAAAAGATTTATTTAGTTATGTAAGTGATCCTACAATCTAAAACTAAAAGTTTTTGGCAAGGATTTTTCCCTTCGTAGAAAGTTCCATCCGCTTATAAGAACAATTTATTTACCTTAGCAGTCAAGTAACTGAAAGCGCATAAAGTGTAAAAGTCGTTCAGGGTCAGAAGAACGAGAGAACTAGAAGTGATACCATTCGCGCTTTTCATAAATCTGCATAAAATTTTTATACTTTATAAATTAGATAATAATTTGGATAAGTTCATGTGAGGGGCAAAGTTTCTCCAAATTGTTAACCCAAGAATCAATTTCTTGAAATTAAATGAGTCAAAGTTTAGAACAAACCCTGCTAAGTCCGTGAGGTGCTCGAGCCAGTCGTCCATCTCTGATCCTTTACCTCGTGGAAACATCCTTTTGACTTCCTTTGCCAAGGATCTTAGATTTTCCACAACATAAATAAATGGAGAAAGCACTAAAATTTGTTGCAACAAGAATTTGATGTTTAGGAAAAAGCCAATTATGAAAGTTACTGTTAAAAACTCAATGTTGCCGTACGTCTTGTGCGACATGAATTGGTGCACAAGGTTTTTTTCGCTAGTAACTTCAGAATTTTTCCCTTGATTTTTGTTATTTGTAGCCGTTGTGGATAGTGTGCCATTGACAATAACGACGATAAAAATTACAAATAGCATCGCGACAAATATGTTATTCAGTTTTCTCCGAGTTTGCAAAACTTCTTGGCGGTGATTTCTGATTGCTCGGTTCTGGAAGAGGCGAATTCCAAGAGCAGCAAGTTCGTCCAAATCCTTTCTTTTCACGGCCCACATGGCGGAAAAGAGGAACATGCAGAACGACGTCGTTATGGTAACGGACATCCAGATGAACATGAAAAACGCTCTCGATGTTTGAAATAATGTGACGGTCATATGAGTAGCCAAAATGAAATTCATAGCTGTTAAAGCGACGATCAAAATTTCGTAAATTGTGAAGAGGCATATCCAGTTTCGCGCAATTTTCGACACGTGCGGCACTCGAACGCCCAAGAGGGCACACAAAATCCGCGCCCAGTTCATTGAGTGCTTGCAAGAAGACAAACTGCCGATTGAGCCTCTGAAGAGTCGGATGTGGAAGTTTTATACTATTTTGATGGAAAAAATTGATCCCTACTTTTTCAAATAAAAACACATTAAACTGAAAGCATTAAGTTGGTTCCCCTAGTCAAACACTTGGATATTTATTAAATAATAAAATTTTAAAATAGATCAATAAACATTGTTGTTTACGACTAAATGAAAGCACTCTCCAAAATTGATCTTCTGCATAATACATGGGCTTAAAATACGTGTGACCACATAACGCCCTTTAAAGCAAAATGGCCACAATCAGCTAAATAACATTCCAAAAAAAATATGACTCTAACTAATTTTTAATTATTATGATGAATGTGATAGAAAAAATTATCTGTAAATCTGTTATTGTTTTTTAAAATAAAAAATTTAAGCAGGGGAACACTTTAACCCAGATAAATTTCATTATGACACAGCTGAGTCTTCTTTATTATGTAAGAAATTAACGAAATAAAAATGTTTTTTATTCTGCACAGATAAAAAGAGGATAAGAGATAAAGCAAAGTTTATTACTGGGCAAAGCTGATAAGGTGATAAGAGAAAGTAGGTGTTTCACTCTGAAGTAAAAATAAGTCATCGCACATATTAGGCTGCTTCCGCTGCTTATAAGTGCACAGCATTATTCAAACTAAATCTCATTAAAACATAAATAATATCAGTGTTAATTTCCCTTAAATACGGAAATGTCCCTGGACATTTTACAACCATTGGACGATGACGAAATTCCTCAACTGCTGGACGTCCTGAGCAAGGACCTGCCTCACAGTGCTTGGGTAAAATCAAAACATTATTATGCGCATACAATTTTTATTTTCATTGTAATAGATTTACAATTTCATCAAGACGCAATTTGACTGGGCCCGTAAAATGAGGTGGGTGCGTCTGTTGGTTTTGTGTCCGTACGGCGACTGGACTTTGGGGACCGTCATCGCCCTTAATATAGGACTGGTAATATAATTTAAAAAAAAAGCAACAGTTTCTCTAGGCGAGCAAAACATTTCAGGCGGACGAATGCAAGATTTTCGGCGCGATTCACAGCATGGAGAGTGACGCGGCGTTGTTGAAAAAGTGTCTCATGGAGACGGACTCGATTCCGTGGAGGGCCATCTCGGACTACGTCACGGTCAGTGAGAGGCACGCCGACGTCTATCTGGAGGCACTCGAGGCCAAGGGGCTGCGGGTCAAGCACCAGGCCACCTGCGCCGTCGCCTACATGCCGCCCCAACAAGCTGCAAATCTTTCACAACCACAGTAGGAAAATTAAAGTAGACCCATATGAACAAAATTCACCCAAATTGAACTCTAAGAAAGCAAAAAATTTCGCGACAAAGGAACGAATGAAAAATACCTGGACAGGTCACGTTTTGATAAATTGAAGACTGAAAAAGCCCATTTTAAATTATAGAATAACTTAATAAAAAATCCATGTTTAATGTTTACATTTAATAATAAATTTTAAGTGATACAAAAGTTTTGAAAAATTTGTATTTTTAAATTCAATTGACTTTTATCTTGCTATTTAACAATGAAACCTCAGCCAATAACCTGCATAAATATGTATTAATTAATCAAATAAAAATTTGAAACTGGGCGAACCTCATTGCAAATTTTTTTTATTTTTTCTTTGCAACGGGATTCGCCCCGTTTCAATTTTTTATGAAATCCACCTCAAGTGTTACCATTCAATTAATCAAATAGTTATTAAATAATATGTAACCTACATAAATTTTTTAATAAAATTTCAATATTTTAATTTAAAAGAACACTTTTTACTCCCCTATTAAAAAATTAAAAAAGTTTCACAGAACCTTTTAAAATGTATTTAATAAGATCTTAAAAATTTCAACTAAGTTTTATTGAGGAATATTATTATTATGTAAATATTATTGGGGAAGAAAAAACATTTTGAAAGTAAAAAATCCTCTTAAAATAGTAAATTTTGATCTCAACTAGATTAAATAAATTAAAACAAAACCCAAAAATACTGTATACTTTGCGTTCATTTATTATTTCTTAAAACTTGGCAAGCCACTTTTAAGAGAGAAAATTTACAATGATGACTTTATGAGGATTTTATGTTATACGAAAATATTTAATTTTATCCTCAGTTTTATTATTTTGTTCTTCATTGCATCCTTGATTTTTCAACGCGCAATGAAATGCATAGTTGCGAAATCAGAAATCAAAAGTTCACGGCGTTTTGTGACGCGTTGTCTGATTTCAAATCGCAATTCTTTCCTCGTTGCATCATTTTCGTGCTGATTACAAAACTAAACTGTTTTTTTATTTAATTTCCCTAGAGTGCCGAGCGACGTCCGAATCGCATCGTTGGACGCAAATTTGCATTTGGAACACGTGTGGCAAAACTGGCCACCGCATGTTTTCCACCCCGCTTTCAAACCAGTCCTCAAAATGACAATCAAGTGCAGCCCTTCCTTTGGCATTTTTGTCCCCTCCTCTGAAGGGCCGGACGAGTTGGCGTCCGTGGTCGTCCAGAGTGACACGGTGGGACTGGGAATTCTGCGAACCGCGGACAAGCACCGCCGAAAAGGGTTCGCCAAAATTCTGCTGGTGCACGCGACGAAAATGATGGGCGAGTGTGGCACGGGGCCCCTGGCTTACATCTCGGCAGAAAATTCCACATCGATCAAAATGTTCAAGAAAATTGGATATGAAATTATTGGTCAGACGCGATGGATCTCCATCAGTGAAACGGAAGCAAAAAATGAAATCTGAAGAATTACCAACGTATGCAAAAATCGATAGGGGTATACTTAAAACATTCGGGGAACAGTGATAGAATTATAAGTATAATCCACCCCCTAAATTACGGAGAACATTAAAAGTTTTTTGTAGTCGAGCCTTGATTTAACAATGTCAAAATAAATTTTATTTTTATCAAATATCTTTTTATTAAAGAGGATTGTATTGTTTTGAATTTTAAAGCTGTATTTTTTCTGAATATAAAAATTCTTACAACATATTGAAATAACTATCAAAAAAATTGGTACCTTTAAAACCGGGTGATTCAACTTAATAACGTCAAACAGAGACTGATCCGCGGAATTGGTTGAAAATGTTTATATCAGACGAATGGTTCAAAACTTACATAAACGGTTAAAAAAAAAAATAAGGGTTGAAATTTAGTACAAACAATAAAAAATACCATTTTATTAAAACAGCCTTTTATAAGTTTCTACAGATGGTGGCTGAAGATTTCGTCAAATGCTTTCGTCCTTGAATAATCTTCTCTTTTTTCCTCTAATTGTGAGACAATTAAAAATAATAACAACAACATTATAAGGCGTCAGAAATTTCCAGAAAGGGGTCAGCACAAGAAGACATACCCCCAGCGAGGCTGCTCTTTATCGGACGAAAAATAAATAAATAAAGGACGAGTTACATACCCACTCTTTTCTCTGTAAAGTAGAAATTACGTAAAATATCTCAAGAATGACCTCGGTTGACCTCTTATCACTATTCACAATGACCCCTATGGCGTTTTTTCCACCGATCAGCCGAGATCTCGCCAGAGCGAAAATCACCGACCGCTCTCTTTTCTCGTAAAGGCAAAAGCAAAAACGCGACACTCTCACTTCCTAGTTCGTCGTCGGCCGCGAGACAAAGATGACCGCCGACTCGAATGACATTCTGCAGCCCCTCAGCGAGCAGCAGATGCATCTCCTGCTCAAAGTGCTGGAGAACGACTTTCCCAGCAGTATTTTTGTAAGGGAAATTTTTTAATTAAATTTTTGTTTTAAATTTCATTGAACCAGGAAGTATAAAATTTGTGCTGGTGAATGAACTTTGATTGGACTTTGACACTGTTCTAAATACCATTCTGTTGTTTGGCAGATTTACAACTGGATCAAAAAGCAGTTGGAATGGGCCTCAAAATTACCATCGATGAAAGTTTTGATTTTGTGTCCCTACGGAAATTGGAGTGACGGAACCGTCATTGGAATTACATATGGCCTGGTTAGTGATTTTATTTTTAATTAAAAAATAATAATTTTCATAAAAATTATTTTCCTTCAAATTTGTGTCAAATTAATATTCCTCCAAATACTTTATAATAATATTTATATTTAATGTCCTTATTTGATTATGACAGTAAGTTAAATTATATTAAAATATTTATTCTATTTGTTAAAAAATAGATTTTAATAAAAAATTTAAATTAGATTATCCAACTTAATTTGTAAATAATTATATGAATTCCAGGCAGTTGGTAAATCATTTGCGGCAATGTACTCACCAGAGAAGGACGGCGGAAAGTTGAAAAGGGCCTTGATGAGGACAAAACACGTCGATTGGGAAACCCTGAGACACTTCTCCGGCGTCTTGGACCGCCACGTACCTCTCTGCATGGAGGTGCTCAGGGCAAAAGGTTTCCAAAGCTCAGACAAAGTCAGGCTAAATTGCAACATGCACTATGTGCCCAAGTACGAGTTCTCCGCCAGCCTCAATTTGCCCACGTAAGTTTTTCATTTTAGTTTTAAATTTAAACAAGAAAATCATAAAGTTTTAATATATTTTTTGTACAAAAAAGGCTAAATTAAAATTTTCTTTTCAAGTGGTTTTTCGTCGAAATTTTTAAATACATCTTAAAACACACAATAATTATTAAAAAAATTTGTCCATATAAATTTTTAATAAAATAACCATCTGCATTTGTCCTCTAAAGAGTGGCCCAATTAAATCAATCACATATTTTTAATTGAATAAATAAAACAGTAGTTAAGGTTGATATTAGGATTGATAAAAATATGTCAAGATATATTTATTCAAGAAAAAAAATTGGGTGAAGGTCATTTTATTTGCATATTATGTAGTATGGCATTTAAGAAAATTTAAACACAATTTAAATCTTTTTAACAATGAACAAACTTACCAAAATTACATTTTAAATATTCAATTTCTTTCGCGATTTGAGGTAAAAATTTGAATTAAACGTTTTGGTTAAAAATCAATCAAAAGTCTAATTTGAGATTTGAGACACAATAATTTAAAGTTCAGACATGATCAAGGTCGTTAAAAAAAATTTTATATCTTAAATTAATTTCGCAAATAACATCAAATTTCCGATTAATATCAAATTTATGTAGACCTAATTTTGCGGACGCGCGGGAAGTCTAAATTTAATATCAAATTCCGATTTCTGGATTCTCTGTTGAAATTATTCATCCTTCAAGTCAACTTTATTTCAATTTAATTATTATCTGAGTAAAAAACTAGACTTCATCAATTTGAGCTTTAAATTTAATAATTCATATATATTATTATTCATTTTGAATATTTTAACTAAAACATTTATTTATCGAATTTGATAGAATTCCGTACGGCGTTCGGATCGGGCCGTTGGACGTGTCACACCTGGACTACGTGTGCGACAACTGGCCCCTGTACACGAGTGACCTGCGTCCGGTAGTGTCGGCGATGCTCGAGCTGAACCCGTCGGTGGGCGTGTTTGTGCGGAACGACGACGGCGAGGAGGAATTGGCGTCGATGGTGTTGCAGTCCGAGTACGGGGGCCTCGGCCTGCTGCAGACGGTGCCCAAGCACCGCGAGCAGGGCTACGCCGCCCTGGCCGTCGCCTACCTGACTGAGGTCATGGGCCGCCTCGGCTTCCGCACCCACGGCCACACCAAGCTGGGCAACCTGCGCGCCCAACACCTCTTCCAACGCGCCGGCTTCAAAATCGCTGACCAGACTAACTGGATCACCCTCTTCAAGTCCCACTAATTTATTTCATTCCATTTATTATTTTTAGTTTTTTAAGAAAATTTACCGATTTTGTGTAAGATTTTAGTCATCTAGCTAATAAATGTCTCATTTTTTATTATATACGTGTAAAAAACTTGTTTTTTCTTAAAATTATTATATGCCCCTTTTTGGAGTAGCCAATGAGGAAGTGAGGCACATAATTAATTTTACAAGAGTGAAAGACGTCAGTATCCGTTTACAAACACAGCAAAAAAGCCACCACAAACGAATAAGCCAAAGATCAAGGATGCTCGATTTATAATTTTACTGATTATTTTATATTCAAATGCCAATGCACAAAGATAATTTGCTATCAAACTTGTTGCGGGCAAAAGAAGGGCAATCAATAATTCAACTTTCAAGGAGTAAAAAAAATGTATACACAAAATCGTATATAGGACACAATTATAATTTTAAACAGACAAAAAATATTTATTTCATTTTTTACTATAAATTTCAATTTTTTGAATCGATTTTCTAATCAAAGGCTTTAAAAAAAAAAATGATATAGACCGTGAAAAAGTGTAACAATCTTGAAATGCATAAAATTATATTATTTTATTAGTTTTATTTTTTAATTGCAATTGAAGTTTATATAGGCATTTTCTGACATAAAGAGACATTGTGGAAATAAATAAAATATATATGTAAAAGTTTAAATATAATGAACATTTGGAGTAAGAGGATATATCATTTTGTTCGTAATTTTTCAAAGAGAAAAATAATTTTTATCATATCACAATTATATTAGGGACTACGCGGACTGCTTTATACAGAATTTACGGAAAGTTGCGAGTTTCGTAAAATAATAGTTTCAGATGAATCTGTTTAATGTTTTAATTTTTTCTATTCTTTTTAATTGATAAAACTTGAGCGTTCTATTTTCTATTACTAAATAAATAACAAAGGTATTCAACGATGTGTGGGATAAAACAATATTTTTTTAAAGGCTTCTCTATTCCAGCAAGAAACGCAATTTAAATTTACGCACATTCTTTATAAATATATATTTTGATTTAAAACTAAAATTCTAAAAGACTCGGTTTTAGCAAGATCTAGTTAAATTAGTTTATGTTATATTAGATCCTTCCTAATTTGATCCAATTGGGTCAATCATAGTTTTTTTCTGTGTGGATGTATTTATTTATCAATAAAGGAAAGATTTCCTCAATAAGGGATCGTTTCAAAACAAATTTCATTCAATCAATAATATTATGCTCTGCCGCCTTACAATTAATTGCTGACCGATGCAAATCGATTGTATTACAAATGCACATTGATTGCACGCAGCATAATATGCAAGGATTTATGGCGAGTTGACAGGCCATTAATTTTATTTATTTATTTATTTCTCTGCTGATGAAATTCCACGTTGTAGGAAGAAGTTGGACGAGCAAATTCCCACAATGTGGATTGGCAAGGATGCGCGTGAATAAGTCAAAGTACAAGGATGGCCTCATCATTATTATGTAACTTGAAAGTAATGGGGAAAATGAAATCGGAATATTCTAACCATTGAATAATTACTATTTTTCTACACACAATGGAATTTGCATAATTTCTTTCATAATAAAATTTTTTCAATAAACTGAACTCAAATAATTTGAGGAGATAAAATATAAATTGGCAACAGATAATTGACAAATAATTTTTAAAATTTTAATATTTCAGTTTAAATTTCAGATTTTTATTTCTTTGAACAAAATTTTTGTATTCAAAATACGACACCAAATATGTTTCAGCTCTGAAAATTGGCGCTTAATTGAACCAATTACAGGAAGGCCAAAGTGCAACGATTCAAAAGTGGCTGTGAGTGGCCGGTTGCTTCATTTGCAAATAGTGAGCGAACTGATAACGCCTAGCAATCTTTTGTCTTTTTTCACCATCTATAAAATGAGTACCAATTCTGTTCTCAGGCCAATTTTGGCAGAAAATTTTCCAAATTTGTTGGAAATATTAAAGGAGAAACTTCCAGACTCAATTCTCGTAAGTTTTGTCTACCTTTATTTCAATCATTCAAAATAATCTGTTTTATAAAACAGGCATATCACTGGACTGCGACACATTTACATTGGGCTCAAAACATTCCAAGTCTAAAAGTTAAAATTTTGTGCCTCAATGGCGACTGGAGGCGCGGTGCGATGGTTGGTTTGACGGATGGACTGGCCGTACGATAAGATTTTATCCATTTTATCTGAATGAGAACAGGAAAATTATATTCAATGATTTTTAAATTCAAAAATATAATTTTTTTCAGGAATCAAATAAAATCCTAGGAATGATTTACGCACCAGAAGACGAATGTGAATCTTTGAATCGGTGCTTAAAAGCGACGGAACTGATAGAGTGGGAAAGGGTGAAATGCTTCGTCAACAATTTGGATCGATTTCTCCCAACCCTCACTGAAATTTTAAAACAAAAAGGATTCAAGCACTCTGGCGAGTTCCATGATTCGTGCTTATTGCTTTACTTGCCTGCTGAAGAAGCTGCGAACATCCCACTTAAAGCGTAAATTGGAATACTATTGAAATAGCAAATAGCAGTAATTCATTCGTCATTCATTTTTATTGTTATAGTCATTTCCACTGTACAATCAAGAACAGAGTATGCTTAACTGAAACAGGATTTTTAATTGCTTTTTCTCATTTTTCCGGTAGAAATTAAACTTATTTTCTAGACGATTGTTCTTTTTGTAATTTATTTTCTTTCATATTTTTTTTTTATCAAACTTAGTAAAATGCATGAATTAAAATTTATAGCGCATATTACTTTCAATTATCTACTGAAAACATTTGTATTGCTTTTAAATTTTTATTATTAATTTTTTTTTGCTTTAGCTTTACAATTTTAAAATAAAAAATCTAAAATATTTGCATCTAAAATACATTAATATAATTTTATAATCGGCAATTTACGCCTCAAATTTATTACTTCGAGCTGCAATCTGAATCGAATTTAAAAAAAGAAAAAATAACATGATACTTTTAAAGTCTTCCAGAAAAAGTCCGCGTTGGATCATTGGACAATTCACACCTGGACATTGTTTGCGAAAACTGGCGACATTACCACCCTGATTATCGGCCCGTCGTCCAAAAAATGATCCAGCTGAACGCGACCGTGGGTGTTTTCGTCACAAATGAGCAGAATGAGGAGGAATTGGCGTCGATGGTGCTTCACACTGACTACGGCGGCTTTGGAATTTTGCAAACGGTGCCTAAGTTCAGAAGGAAAGGTTTTGCTTCGATCGCTTTGGCACACATCGTCAGGGCTCTTGGCCTGAAAGGGTTCATGCCCTTTGGAACCGTTTTAGCCTGGAACGAGGACTCGGTGAATCTTTTGAAGAAATTTGGATTCAAGGTTTTGGAAGCTTCAACTTGGTTGGAATTAGAAAAAGAATAAACTTATGCGTGATTATTACATCAAAGAAAACGAATGATAATTTAAGAAACTCCTTAAATGTGCTGCTCAATATACGCATCAATCAAGGCCAGAAATATATCCCCGCCAGTTGATACGAGAGACAATTTTAGAGTTTCTTTTTCATAAAAAGAACTGAGAAGTAAATGGCAACTAAGAAGAAGGATTTTTATAATTTAAGTAATTTTAAAAGGAAAAATTGAGACCATTCAAATTATAATGCTGAATACAAGATCCTTTAATAGGTAAAAATCATGCAAGCAAGCACACATTTTTTTTCTTGGTATTTTTGTGGATTATTTTTTTAGTGTTAAAGCATTTATGAGCAAAATCCAAGCTTCTCCAACACTTATTTCATTTAAATGTTTTTTTCAAACCAAATAATGATCATCCTTCAAGTAAAGACAAAATAATTAAATAAATGTGAAAAAATTTATTTTTTAATCAATTTTAAAGTTGATTCTAAAGTTCTTTAATAGTGTGCCATGGTGCACTATTTTTTGTTTTTAAACATTTAATATTTTTTACATTAAACAAGTCAGTCAGCATAGGGAGCCCAAAACACCTGCCTGATAAGAACTCTCGTATTGATAAGAAAAATTGTGCCGACCACAGGCTGACGTACTTTTTAAATTTCACGCGCTGGCAAGTTTTTCACAAATTTGCAAGCGAGCCCTGATCATGGCTCCTTTAAAGCCGATTTCGTTGGAACAAACATTCAAATTGAAAGAATTTCTAAGAACTCAATTACCAGATTCTATAGTGGTGCGTATTTTTTTCAAATTATGAAGTAAAAGAAAATAAATAAGCAAAATTATCCACAGCCTTTCAATTGGATTTCGACCCAGTTAGTTTGGGAAAAAAATGTATCTGATGTGAAAGTTCAGATCTTGTGTCCGGGTGGCGACTGGAGCGACGGAACGTTGGTTTGTTTGGCGGAAGGAGCAGCCGTAATAAAACCTTGATCATTGAAATGAAAAGTTGAAAATATATAATTAAGGCGTCGAACAAAATATTTGGCGTCGTCCACGCGTCAGAGGATAAATTGGATGATTTGAAAGAGGCCCTCATGACGACAGATCTGATCGACTGGAAAAGACTCCAGCAATTTTCCACTTGCTTGAAGAGGTTTTTGCCAATTATGGATGAGGTCTTGCAAGCAAAGGGTTACAAAAATACGTTGGAACTAATTGCCCATTCGGTTGTTTACTACATGAATGTTGACGAGGCCCTCAACCATCCCCTCCCAGAGTAAGTGTAACTTAAATTAAATAGCAATAATTATAATTAAGACAAATACATAATTTTGATTTGAAGCAAAAACAGATTAAATTCTCACTCTTAATTCATTTTTTAATCTCAAAATTTCAAAAAAACAGGGAGCAAAATGAAGCTTTAAAATTTATTATTTATATTTTTATAAAAAAAAATTCTTAAAAAATGGAGTAGATGTGGATTTCTGAATTCAACAAAAATGAAAAAACTAACGGAAATGAAAGTCAAATAATCATTTTTTTTTTGTAATTCAGATTAAATTTTGACAAAAAAAGGGTTAAATTCATTTAATCTTTGTTTCTTGTGTCTTTCGTTAGAAAAATTTTAAGAATAAATATTGATATCAGATTTTTTGCATTATAATTTTTAAGTGTGCCTGACAATGTGAGAGTAGCTTCACTGGACGCTTCATTGCTGGACGCTATTTGTGAAATTTGGCCATCCTATGATCCTGATTACCGTCCCGTTGTCTTAAACAATATCAAGTTGAACGGCTCTTTTGGAGTGTTTGTAAAAAGTGAAGAGAAGGAGAAACTGGCGTCAATGGCGATGCATGCCGAGTACGGTGGGATCGGCGTTTTGCAAACGGTGACCGAATTCAGGCGCAGAGGATTCGCGGAAATTGTCTTGGTCAACAATGCGAAATCATTTGCTCGAAAAGGGTTGATGCCTTACGGAAACGTTCTTGTTGGTAACGACGCTTCCATTTCGCTTTTCAAGAAGTGCGGATTTCGATTTTTAACAGAAACGGCCACAGTCTTTGTTAATCCAAATAAACAGCACTGAATTTTTAAGAGAAATTCTAATTTTAAAAAATATTGAATTATTTTAATTTAAAAAAACCTTCAAAATTTGAAATTTCGTCAAAATCTTAAATTATTGACGGCAGATATTCCTAGCAAAATTTAGAATCACTATAAAATTTCAGATTTATTTTTTAGCTATTTGAAATTATATAATTTAAAAAAAAAAATGCTTAAAATTTAGTGCGTGCTGCAGTTTGGTGCCACCTAGCGACTGATTGTGACCTACTTGAGACGTGTCCTCCTTAAATTAATTTTTTCACTTAGCAAACAGCAGCGCGACAGTCTCACTTGATATCTGAAAGTAAATTCAGTGCGCAGCCTTTTACTTGTGCTTTCATTGACCTTTTTTCTAATTAAAAATAATTGAACCAACATGGGATCAACGGACACACTGGTGGAAATTAAAGAAGAAAATATCCCGCATTTGCAGGAAGTGCTCAAAAGCCTCTTGCCTGACACGGTCATGGTTCGTTTTTTTTATCTTCTATTAAAATTTTCTAATATTTAAGTACTCTTTTAGCAATATTACTGGATTTTGACTCATTTAGAGTGGAAAAAGGAAATTCCGAAACTGCAAATAAAAATTCTGTGTTTGAACGGAGACTGGAATGAAAAAACGGTGATCTGTTTGGCCGACGGATTGGCCGTAAGTTATTTGAGAAAAAACTGCTTCTGTATGGATTGATTATTTTGATTGAGGTGCCTGATAAAATTTACGGAGTCATGTACGCGCCGGAGGAGAAACTGGACCGCTTGAAATCCGCTCTGCTCACCACTGACTTGATCGAGTGGCCCCGATTGAAGCAGTTCTCCGCCTGCCTTCTGCGACTGGTGCCAATGATGGCCCAAGTTTTCAAGGAAAAGGGCTACCAGCACAATGAGGACGAATTCACCTACACTGGTTATCAATATTATATGCCCGTGGAAGAGGCCAAAAAATTTCCATTGCCAACGTTAGTTCTGTTAATTGAATAATTTAAAATAATTTTTCATGTAATGCAATAATAGGTAGAGAATGTACCTAAGAGTTTAAAGATCATAAAGTAGTTGATTAAAAAGTTTGATTGGCAGCCAAATAAAAAAGTGGCATATTTTTCTTCCAGAATGCCACATTGGACTAATATTAAATGTTAAAATAGAAATCGTGATCAATTTTCACAGATTTAAATTTCAAAATTTACCCTTTTATCGCTATTTTTTGTCACAATATTAATTTTTGCACTATATTTAAAAAACTATTACGAAAAAAATCAAATTCCAAGTAAAAAAATCTATTTAAACATTTAAAATTTTATAGGCTTCCTGAAAACGTGCGGGTGGGTTCATTGGACGGATCGTTCCTGGACGTCTTTTGCTCCCACTGGCGGCACTACGACCCTGAGTACAGACCTGTCGTTCAAAAAATGCTCGAACTCAACCTTTCCGTAGGCGTTTTTGTGAAAAATGAACGAGGCGAGGAAGAATTGGCATCGATGGTGCTGCAGTCAGAGTACGGCGGAGTTGGACTTTTGCAGACGGTGCCTGAATTCAGACGCAAAGGGTACGCGGAAATCGCCTTAGCGCACCTCACCAAGCAGCTCGGCCTCAAAGGCTTCATGCCCTTCACCAATGTGCTCAAATGGAACGAGGCCGCAAACAAACTTTTCAAAAAATTCGGATACAAGTTGGTCGATCGAGGATCGTGGATCATTGCCAACAAGCTGCCCGAGTAAATTTTGTGTGACAAAAATAATAATAAACAGACGGGGGAGGACAAGTATTTTCAATAAATATTTTTTAATCTTACCATTTAAAAACTATTATTCTGGCAGTAGACCTTTGCAAATTCTGATAATATGTAAAGTGCAGTGAGACTTCAAATAACTTTTATATATGTTTAGCACTTGCAAAAAAATTCCATAATTTTATTTTAATATTATTTAAAGAATTTGATTTCGTTTTACATCAAAATGCTTAACTTTAAATTTGAGCCTAAAAAGTCGTCTTTTTTTGAAGAAAAATTTAACGATTTAAAGAGCAAAATACTTATAAAATGCATTGCAGAGAGAAAAAATGCAGCTTCCATTAAAATTACAGTGGAACGATGTAAGTGGACCAGAGCAATGATATTATGGAACAAATTTAAGCAGACGTTTTTATCAGCAAAAATCAACATTAAATGATAAGAGGGTTTGCTCAAAATTCAACGACCAAGTAGCAATTTTTTACCTTTGCTACCTTCTCTAATATTATAGTTAGGCTGTAAACTTAATATTGAAAAATGGAAGTGACGGAGAAATTACTTCCTCTTGACAGAGATAAAATTCCTCATCTACTTGACGTTTTGAAATCATTGCTACCAGACACTGCGGTTGTAAGTTTTTCTATAAATTTGAGCTGCAGATTGAAACCCGTTTCAACAGGCTTACCACTGGCTTTTGACGCAGGAAAAGTGGAGTGAGCAATGCAAGGAAATCAAATTGATAGTCTTTTGCCTAAATGGAAATTTCAATGGTGGTACCATGGTTGGCCTTGTCGACAATTTGGCGGTGAGAAGAAAAAAAAATGTAATTTTTAATAATTAAAGAATAATTTTAAAGGTGCCAGACAAAATTTTCGGAACGCTTTACGCCAAGGAGGAGAACATGGAACAGCTGAAAAACGCGATTTTGAATTCAGAGCTGATAGATTGGTGCAGATTCAAGCACTTCACGTCAATTTTAAATCGAATGGTTCCTTTCGTAAGAGAAATTTTTGCTGAAAAAGGAGTCAAGTATTTGGAGAAACATTTACACTTGCTTGTCATGTCGCAAGAAAAAGCTGCCAACATTGATTTGCCTGAGTGAGTGTATAAGAAAAAAATTAAAGCGTTTTGAAACCATCAAAGACTAAAAAAGAAGATCATAAAAAACTTTTAAATTATTCAACGCTTTTAGGCAAGTAATTTTGGGTCCAAACTGACAGAATTATTTACGTCCAAATTTTTCTAATAATTATTGTTTCCAAAAACACAAGTTTCTAAAAAAAATTTTGAATTGTTCCACAAAAATCTCAACTTAAATTGATAATTACACGCTAATTTTTCCCTTTAATGAAATTTAAAAAGTCTTTCAGAGGAAATTAGAGTTGGGCCCTTGAATGAGCATTACTTGGACATCGTTTGCAACAATTGGCCGCACTACGACTTCCAGTACAGACCCGTAATTTTGAAGATGCTCCAGTTAAACCATTCAACTGGAGTTTTTGTGCGAAACGCGGAGGGAGAAGAAATCTTAGCGTCAATGGTTCTGCAGACCGAGTACGGCGGCGTTGGAATTTTGCAGACCCTACCCAATTACCAGAGGAAGGGTTACGCGGAAATCGCGACGCTCTCTTTGACCAAAATCCTCGGTCGGCAGCAGAAAATCATGGTGCACGCTTACGTCCTATTCCAAAACGACAAAGCCGAGAGACTTTTTGAGAAGTGCGGATTTGACGTAATTGCACATGTTTGTAAAATGTATGTTGAAAGCGATTGAAAATGATTAAATTTGTGTTGCAAAAAAACTGATGTAATTGCCAAAATTGATAAGAAGCGGCAGTCTGGAAGCCTTGCTGATAAGAGAACTTTTTAGCATAATTAAATATTCTCGCCTTTTTAAAAGCTGAGAGACAAAGTATTAATATGGCACCTAAATTGCAGTTATTAGAAAGTGGAAAAATACCAAAATTATTGGAAATCTTGAAAGATTTGCTTCCAGACAGCGTCGTTGTGAGTTAAATTTTTGATTACCAATTTTTTTCTATTAATTGCTTAGGCCTACAATTGGCTTTTGACCGTCGCTAGGTGGAGCGAACAGAGCGACCAAGTGAAATTAATTCTTATGTGTCCCAAAGTTTTGGATGGCACGATGGTCGGATTAATTGATGGCGTTGCTGTGAGTTAAAAAAATGTTTTGAAATGGAAAATAAGAAAAAAGTAAAAAAAAAAAAATAGGGGTCGAACAAGATATTTGGGACCGTGTACGCTCAAGAAGGGAAGATGGAGGGGTTGAAAAATGCAATGATGGAGACGCAGTTAATTGAGTGGCAACGGTTGAAACATCTTATTGGCATTTGGAAGAGATTCGTTCCTTTTCTGGCCGATGTTTTGCGAGAAAAAGGAATCGATTTTAGCGAAAACTATCGAAATTTGAACGTCATGTCAGTCGAAAAGGCAGCAATTTTGGAAAAAGAAATGTTAGTCATGTAAAATTTATCAATTCAAAAATTAAAATTTGTATTATCTCAGGTGGCCTGAAAACGTTCGAGTCGGAGAATTGAGTGAAAAGCACTTGGAGAAAATGTGCAATCTTTGGCCGCTCTTTGACCCGGATTTGCAGCCTATCATTTTGAAAATGCTCCAACTGAACCCGTCCGTAGGAGTTTTTGCTACAAATGAAAGAGGCGGAGAGGATTTGGTTTCCATGGTGGTGCAGGCTGAGTATGGCGGGGTCGGATTGTTGCAGACTGTGCCGCAATACAGACGAAAAGGCTATGCGAAAATAGCCCTGGTCGCCATGACCAGAATTCTAGGCTCTCAGGGAATAATTCCGCACGCCTATATTTTGCTTGACAACGAAAATGCGTCTGCACTTTTCAAAAAGTGTGGCTATGAAAGGACCGGAATAATCTGCACGATTTATGTCAAAAATAATTAAAAATTTAAATAGATTTTAAATTGATAATTAATTAAGGAAAAGAAGGCTCCAAATAATTTTTTCCCACATTCTTTTAGAATAAATCTTTGTCAAGTCATTTCTATTGTGGGTGGGTAAGGATTTTGCCGCAATTAGATTAATCTGGAATGACCTCTGCAAAAAAAATAATATAACGATGTGCGCTGTCAAGGCACTGACATGATTCTGCCAACAATAATTATTGTCATTGATAAGTAGAGTCAAAGGGGCACAGGGTCATGTCATGTGAAACTTTACGCACTCAACCAATTTTAGTTTGAAAGAGTCTCAATTAATTTTATTTTAAGAAGGAAGATGGGTGCGCAGAGCATTGCACTTTGGCCTAAAAAGATAGCAAAACTCGCGCAGAATATTTTATGTAACTTTGAAATGGAAAAAAAATTATCTTTTTTTTTATAAATTGAAAATATTAGTACATGATTGTTTAATTTGAAACAAAATATCAACCAAAATAATAACCTATCCAGTAAAATTTGAGTGTGTATTAGAAATCTCCTGGAAATAATTTTCAAAATTTTTCGATTGTTTTGAATTGTTTAATCACTTACTAAAAATAAAAATAAACCGTGGTTCCCCACTTATCTTGTAGGTTGGAGAGTTGTTTTAAGAATACTACAATGCAGCCTGCACTGCAGGTACGTCCAGCAGGTTGTCTAACATTAAGTAAAATTTGCAATGCAATATTTTTGGCCTTGAAAGATAAGTGAAATACTATCAGAAATTTTAGATTGATTTAATCATCTTGCTTCTGTCGATTTTAATTAAAAAAAAGGTGAAAAAAGTGATCTCCTTTCAAAATGAGCTGCAACGATGATGTTCTGTGTGAACTCGATGAGCAAGAAGTGGACCAGCTATTAATTATTTTGGAAGAGTGTCTACCAAATAGTATTGTGGTAGAAGCTTTTTTTAATTTCATTTACAAAATTCATATTATCTCTTGGAAACAGATTTACAACTGGATTCTGAAACACCGCGAATGGAATCCTAAAATTCAAACTTTAAACTTCAAAATTTTATCTCCCGCCAGTATGAAAATTAAGACTGGGTGTGCTGCAGTGTGTGTTTGCCAGGGTGTGGTGAGTGTTCCCTACAAATTTTGCCTATGTATGGTCAAGAACATTTTTAGTCGGACAAACAATACGGAGTAATTTTCGCAACTGAAGAGAACAATGACCTACTGAAACAATGTTTAACCGAGACCAAACTAATCCCGTGGGAAAAATTCAGCCACTTTACTGGAGTTCTAGAAAGCCATGCCAAAATTATGGAATCGGTTCTTCAGATAAAAGGGTTTAAAACTTCAGAAGATGAAATCAGCCAGAGCTTCCTCTTGCACATTCCTATCGAGGAAGCTTTGAGAAGACCAGCGCCACAGTAATTCATTTTTAATTATTTAAAGATATGCCCAATGTGAATATAAATATTAATTTATTGATGATAAAAAATTTAAAATTTTGAAAAGCTGATAAAGGTTTTTTGATAAAAACAATTTTCTCAACTAGGAAAAGCCGATCTCTTGATTTCCATGATCATCTCAACTCAAATGTCAATTTCTTCAAAAAATATTGTTTTTTTGTTTTTGATCTGAATTAATAGCTATAGAGAAATAATAAATTTTCAGAATTCCAGATGGATATTACCTGAAACCAGTGAATTTATTGCATATTTCGGAGGCAACGGATATTTGGGATGATTACAAACAGACCGTGGAGAAGATGTTTGAGCTAAACTTGTCTGTCGCCGCTTTTCGGAAAGCTGACGTCGGAGTAAAAGACGATCTGGTTGCGATGAATGTTCAGGCCGAGTATGGTGGTGTGTCCGCCTTGCAAGTGGCGCCCGAACACCAACGAAAAGGCTTCGGAACATGTGTTTTGACGGAACTTACTCGGAAAATGGCGCAAATTAGAATTCACCCGCACGCACACGTGTTAAGGGACAACTTCAAGTCACTCGGTTTGTTCGAAAAGTGCGGATACCGCGTTGTGCAAAAGTCGTTTTGGATTTTTGTTCGAAAGTAGTTAGCACTCGGAAAATTTGCGCACATCCATAGACATACGCCCCACTTGGTACTCACGGTCCAGCTGCAAGGTGGTCAACTGCTGCCTTGAGGGTGACAGGGTTAGGATCCTATTCGAAACAGGAATGAGTATCTTTTTAAAAAATAAATCTCTTTCAACAAAATTGGTTTTCTTTTCAACCAACCTCTTCCAAGGGTTTGTCGGCAGTGATTTTTCCCTTGACCTCCTTTGCCTTGTGCTGCCGAAGGTGCTCCAGCATCACAGGCCGCTGGTTTGTCGTATATTGACACTGGTTGCACTGGAAAAAATTCATTTATAATAATCTTAAATTGCCCAGATTTAAGTTTTGTATTAAAAAATGCCTAAATTGGGTCCCCAATGTAAATTATAATATTATATTCTACATTAAAGATTTTTTATCTCAATTAATTACTATTCAACAATATCACATTTTATTTATCTTAAATTTAAATTACCTGCATCAGAACATTCTGCGGAATAGGAGTTTTTGCAGCTGGTGTTCCAGTAGTAGGCGTAAGACTTTCTTTTACAAGTCCTGATTGCGTGCTTAAGATGATGGGCTGAAGTTGATATTAAAATTAGTTTATATTCCATTTTTTTTACTTAGATTTTAGTTTTGAACAATCATCTGCCAAACCAACTTGCTTAGATTATAAATCACTCATATTTACCTTGACAGTAGCGGCAGTCGTTTCTACAAATAGAGTTAAAAAGTTAATTAACAATCTCCATCGTTTTGAAATGATTCAAATTACTTGTAGGCAGAACGGAAGTTCCTTTGAATGGTTTGGAACTTTTCATTGCAGTCTTCTCAAATGTTGTCTTCAGATTCTGCGTGTTGCCAAAGACAACACTCTTTGGCATGGTCCTGCTGTACAAATCATCATCATTCAAGTTGTACTTCCTCTCAATGGAGCTCAAGATGGTCTGCTTGGTGGTCATCACTTCGTTCTCTAGACGATCCAGATTGTTAAGCAAATTGGCGCACGTTCTGCAGATTTTGTCGATGTTCGAGACCACTACCACATACTTCTCGCTAACAAGCCTTCCCAAAACCTGTAATATTTGGATTGAAGAAAAAAATTATGAGCATTTTTCCTTCTTACTTCAATGAGACGACTCTTGCTGGTGTTTGTCAGGCAGTTTGCGATTGGATACTTCTTGCCGCTGATCAATTCGTCACAGACAAAGCAATACTCGACCTCCTTCTCATCAACAGCCTCTGAGGTTTCAGGAACTTCGAGTTCCAAGCGTGGGCGCTTGACTTCGTCTGGAAACCAGAGTCCAATTACAATTTCAGATGAAATATAAACCATGATGTATTTTTTAAATAAACCACGCAAATAATAAAACCAATTCCCGTACCATTTGTAGCAGTTTCACTCTCAGAATTTGACATCTTTTACTTCTTCAGATTTTTGCAAAGGAAATCGACCCCTAGAACATGCATGAAAAAAAACAGTCTGAAATATATATTAATTCTATAATTGTTTTTATTTTTACAGTTAACTTAAGTCGAAGAAGCCGGAATATTAGAAAATAAGAGCACTGAAAAGTTTTTGCCGGCTGCAGGCTTCGTTGCAACTAAAATTGTTAAGTGTACAATGTACTGTACGTAAACAAAATAATGGGCGTGGTAGTAATGCGTATGCGTACCAACATTATAGCACGATGTGATACAAAAGGAGAACCTTCTTGAGGAGAACAACCAAACAAAACAAGCCGAATGCCGAATTGGAGGGCAAAGGGCGACAACAAGTACAACAAGAGAACTTTTTTCTGCTTATTTTATCTTCCTTTTCCTCATCCGGACGTCCGGACGAGCGTCGCAGCAAAGAAGCAAATTTTGACGCTTGCTGCGTTTTTTCATCAAAGCTTAAAAAGACTTTATGTATTGGCGGAGAACGGCGGAAGCAGACGAGATTCGGGATTCGAGTTAAAACATGCGGCCGGCTCGAGCTCCTAGGTATGTACTCGTGCACATTAATTTTAATTATATATATAATTTTGCTCCGTCTAAAGTTGTCTTTGTATTTTCTTAATTCTGAATATTATGTGCAGGGGTAGAAGCAGCAGAGGTGGATTCAGAGGCAGCGGCGGCTTCCGAGGGTCGTCCAGAGGGATGGTAGGCAGAGGCAGTTTTGCTCCTCGGGCGCGAGGCACCGTTCCCTATCCAAAACGTGGGGGTTTCGCTGCTCCTCATGCTGGACGCACTACCAAGCGTCCCTTTTCAGAGATGGACAGTCGTTCATCCTCGAGAAGCTCGTACGACCAACACCCTAGCAGCTCCAGACATTATGGTGTGCTTTTTCTCGAATTTAAAAATGTCTATGAATAAAATTAATAATAATTATCATCATGTACAGAGAGTTCCAGTACTGAGAAATTTTATGCTTATGGCGACCGAGAGAGCCACAAGCCGAAGTACTCAAGAGAGGTAATTTTTATTATTATTAAGAAATTAGAACTTAACAAAACTGGAATGCTTGCAGGATTCTCCAAAATACTACCAAGATTCTTACCGCTCACCTTCTCCGAGGCGAAGGGCTGTGCACTCCGAGTACTATGAGGATGAGGTGAGATTTATTTTTTATTCTAGTCTTCTTGTCTTCGGACATCAGAGAAGATTTGCAAGAGTTGTGACTTTCAAACACCCCCTGGAAGACAATTAATAAAAAATGAATACATTCCACCAAAAAGACTCAGATTTGAGCAGGTGGTTTTACAAGTAAGGCAAGGAGCGGATCTAATCGCCTTGCTGAATTATTCGGATGATAAAAAGGCAAAGGTTTGATGAATAGATCGGAGCTGAAAAGCCCAATGAAGAGGCTTTGAGCACAGTGTTGAAAAATATAAATCATGATTGAATAATATCATCATAAAGATACTTGCCAAAAAGTGAGCTCAAAAGAGTGAGAAATAAAAGTCCATTAACAGCAGAAAGTCTAAAAATAGATTCTGAATCAAAAGAAAAAGAATTGCATAACCACTCTATAGTGAGTGTATTAATGTCTGGTCTTGGAATGGTAAAAAGCATGAGATGAAAAATAATGAGAGTATGTGGCGTTGAGAAATAAAGTTCTGCTGCCAGGCGCCAAGCCACCGCAGCAGCCGCCACCGAGCCGAGGAAAGATACGAAAGGTACGAAGAGCGCCACCCTGCTGAGGAAAGATACCTGACCTCCTCCAGAGACATGTACGCCGAAGAGGAGGTGCCGCCTCCCCCTCTAATGGAGGAGGAGTATGAAGTGCCACCGCCCCCGACCATCAGTAAAAGGGGCAGGGGCACCCTCCGAGGCGCCACAAGTAGAGGAGTCCCGCAAAAAACCTTCAGGTCCTCGGCCTACAGGGCGACTTTGCTGGCTAAGAAAAAACTGGCCGTCGCCAGAGGCGGTGGCTCCTTCAAGAGGTAATTTTGAGAGGCGGTGGTACTTGTAGATGACTGGGAGCACTCCTCAAGTTTATAGAAAAAAACGAGAGAAAAAAGAATGCTCTTGAAGCTGCTGAAAAGCTAATTATATATTTTTTGCTAAAATTTATTTTAATTTCCAGATCGCCGTATAGCAAGAACAGAGTTGTTCAAGAAGTGGTTAGTTATTTTTTCATTTAATTGCTATAAATTTCTAATTTTTTTGAACAGGTTGGCACTGAAGAGCCACTTTATGATGATGACGAAATGGAAGAAGAAGGAGGAGGAGGAGAGGAATATGACAAGCTGGTTAGTAATAAAAATCAAAGAGGGTGTTTTTACATGTCTAGTTAAAGTCATTTTCTTATCCACAAATTTCAATTTCAGACACCACCAAAACAGAGACCCCCTTTGAGAACTCGCACAGGCCGAAATTTCATACCTCTCCTCTGTCCCCACTGCAAGCAGACCTGTGTCACCTTCAAGGTAATAATCCTTTTTTTCAATTATCTTTTAATAAAAAGTTTGTCTTCTCTAGCAATATGAAACTCACCTGGTGATGAAGCGCCACATTATTGCAATGACAAAGTTGGCGGCCAGGAGCAAGCAGCAGATCATTAGCATGCGGGGCCAGCAGAGGAAGCACCAGAACGCTCAGGAGGAGAACCCTGACGAGGACAAGCCCCTGACCGAGTTCACCTCCTTTTGTCCAATCTGCAAACTGAACTACCGCCAGAGCAAGGAGGTTCATGAAACATCCAAGATGCACATTGTAAGCAAAACTTTAAAAATGACAGTGCTGAAGTTGACTGAAAATCTTCAATTTTAGGAAATAAAGAAACTGCTGTTCCCTTCATGTGACACTTGCCGTATTCGCTTCAAGTCTGTTCGCATCTACGAGCAGCACATGTGCAGTCTGGGTCACATAAAGGTAAAACAATTTTTAATCTCATTAATATCTAGATCATATTTTAGTTGAATGAAATTCTAAAATTTGCTGAGCTAAATTTTAATCATTATTTTTAGAATGATGCATTCAAGAGAGAATCTGAAGGTACACGAAAGAAAATTGAAGATTCCAAGCCGAAACGACCTAAAGACGAATTGGACGAAGAGGCCTTGAACTGTCTGGAAGGCTTCATGGTTGTCGACTCTGTTGGAGATGACGAAGAAGAAGGTTTGTGGATAAAATTGTTCTCCAAATCTCATTTGACAAATAATTTTTCCAGCTGAAAAAGAGGTGCTTCTTGGACTAGACCGCATCAAGACGGTGGAGGCTCTCTTTTGTGATTTGTGCCAGCGCTTTTTGCCTCGGCTGGACGACCAGGACAAGGCCAAGTCGGTGCACTGCCGCAGTTCCCTGCACCAGAAAAACTTTGCCGTTGACGAGAAAAAGAATCTGGATAAAAAAAAGGAGGACGAAGAGGAGGCAAAGGTGAGAATTTTTTTTAGCTGCTACAAAAGTGAGCTGACGTTTTTCTTTAGAGGAAGAAGGCAAAGGAGGATCAGAAGAAGGAGGAGCTAGAAAAGGAAAAAAAGCCTGTGGTTGAAGAAGAAATTCCTGAAGACGAGGCTGTTTGGCGCGACGTGGACCGAGACATTGGAGAGCTGCTGAAGGAGCGCAATGATGATTTGAACTCCAACAACTCCAATGAGGAAAACCCGTAAAATTATGAATTTGGTGCAATTAGGAGGATTTCACGCCACTGCACCTTTTCTTGGGCTGGTTATCGAATATGAAGTAGTCACCTATTGACCACTCAAGCAATCAAAGCAAATGCTGAGCATTCCTTTGTGTGTGTAGGATTTCATGAACTACCACGGAAACATATTAAAGTTGTAAAAAAATCACAATTCATGTTTAACTTAAAATCAGCAAGCTAAGATGCTTTTAATTTTTAAAGTAACTTTCGGATACTTTCATTGTTTTTTATTTTGCCAAGTACGAGATAAATTTCGATGCATAATTTTGTTTGATCAGCCAGGCACAATTTTGTGTAAAACTAGGGATGATAATGAAATAAAATTCTGGGAATATACATAGATATAAAATACAGCAGGTTGAAAATGCTGAAATGCAAGACTGTATCACTGAAGGTTTCCATCAGCATTTTTTCCAGGCTGTAATATTGACATTTTATTGCAACCATAACATTTACAGTGGTAGTCTAACGTTTCTTTCCATTCCTTCTCATCTTATAGCACAACAATTTACACAAGTTTTATACAAAATTTTGAAAATGTACACCAATCCATTTCATTGCATATTTTCTAATCATAGAAAGAATTTAATAAAAATTTCATATTAAGGTTGTTAGTCAAGAGAAATCTTCCTACCGATGGATGGATTGTTACGTGTCTGATTTTGAATGCGTTATTGGTTTTAGTAATGAGTCAGTCTCACGTGTGTAATTAGGGTTGACTCGCATCACAGCTACTTCTTATTTATATGTATATAAAACAAAAACATACAAGTGGAGAAAAGATGATTCACAATTGGAGGGCAAGAGACAATGTAAATGCATTTGTAAGTGTAACTATATTGGCACCCTTTCTTTTCGATCTGAGCGCTTAGCACTCAATTTGAAAAATCATAGTTTAAAAAAAAATGAGCAGCAGGTAACTGTGTGAGAGTTCCCTTGTTCTAATTGCTTGCAACCACAAAGCGCAATATCACCATCACGAGTTAAAATTATCATCAAACATTCTCACAGCTATCGGACGAGATTCAAATGCAAAAAATCAGAAATTATTCCACTTTTAGGCCGAGTCCGCCCCATCAGAGGTAGTGCCAGGGCTCTTGCTCAGTTTGTCCGTCTGCAGCAGACCTGTCTTTTCTTCGGACACCAGTGGCACGCTGTTGTCGTTGTACATGCACTCGTAAACTGGGTTGCCAAAGTTAGAGGCCTGGAATTAAAATTATAGCTATTCATTTTGAGCAAATATATTTAAAACCAACAAAAAACTATCATTTTTTTAATGCGCATTTGATTAAGAAAGGAAAGTCCCTTGAAGGATTAATCTAAGACGGACCTTGTCGGAGTCCAAGCTGAAGCTGTGCTCGAGAGGGTCGTCGCCGTCGTCCTCTCTCAAGTAAATGGGGTTTGTGATCTCAACGTTGTCTTGCATGCGGACGTGGGCAAAGGGCTTCCCTCCCCCGAGGCGCCGCCTGTACATGAAGTAGATAACCCCTCCAGTGGCAAGGGCCAAAAGGAACAGGAATCCTATCAGCAGCACAACCAGCAGTGCTGACGAGGTGTCTTTGCCTGAAATCGAGTCCTTATTGTGGCCTGCAAATTGGTTGTGCGTCTCACACCGGAGGCCTTGGAAGTCAGGGGGACAGCTGAAATGTAATTTTTGTGTAAAAAATTTAGACAAAGGAGAGAATACAGAAAATGCAAAAAAAAAATTCGGACCAATAAAAAAGTGGCGATCCCTGCCCACACTAAAGTAGAAAAATTTCCCCTCCTTAGTAATGATGAGATTTTTTAAGAAATTTCTAATGCTGGCAAATTCAAAATTGTAAATTATAATTTTCACTTAATTTTTGTACTCACATGCAGACTGGCTTGAGGTCGGAGTCTTCAGGCTCCTGGCAGGTGGCGCCATTGAAGCAGAAGTTCCGGCAGGTGGCCTTGTTGTCACAGCGTGGGCCCGTCCAGCCGTCCAAGCACCGACAGATGGGCTGAGCGTCCGGCGCGTCCAGGACGCACACACCATCGTGGTGGCAGTAGTTGACGCACGCGTTGTCCTTGTACGAGACGTAGAGGCCGCAGTCGGTACCCACCCAGGTCGAGGGACACCTGCAGACCGCCGAGTCACGGATCTCGACGCAACTTCCGCCGTTGCGGCATGGCAGATGCGGACACCTGTCCACTGAGCCTGTGCAAAGTTCGAGCCGCATCTGCTTAGTTTTGCACAGGTCGACTTCGCAGCGTTTGCCCGAATAGCGCTCTGGACACACACAGTGCTGCATTGTATTTGGCAAAATTCTGCAAGTGCCTGTTAAAGATAGTTTTTTTTAGAAAATGGGCAGTTTCTTTTTTATTTCTTTTTTAATATTTTGATGATTTGTTGTACTTTATTTATTCCTTTAAATTATTACTTCTTTAAAATTGCGAAAAATATTATGATGTTTTTTATAGTTAAATATAGTTGTTATTTTCTTTAAGTACATCTGGCACTTAAAATAGTTTTGTAAAAAAAGTTTGATCAGAAAATTTCTTATACAATATCATTGAGTGGCAATGGTTAAATGGAAGGAAACTATCAAATTTATTACCTCCATGCATGCAGTGGTTGCTGCAAACGTCATTTTCGCACCGCTTTCCGGAAATACCTTGAGGGCAGTTGCACTTGGGCCCGTGAGCAGTGATGACACAATCACCCTGAGCAAAATATTTGTTAGGGAGATGAAATTATTTCATGCATTTCAGGAATTACTTGGAAGCAGTAGTTTTTCCCCTCTGCAGTTAGACAAGTTGAACTCTCGCAGAAGGCACCCGAGTGGCCAGTTGTGCAATTGCATTGACTCAAGCCAGTTGTGATGTTGACATGGCAAGTGCCATGGTTAAGACACTTCCTGTCTGCGCAGATTTCACAGAATTTGCCTGAAGAATAATTTATTAATCAATGCTATATATATCAATTGAAAGAAAATCAATACCTGAAAATCCAGTTGGACAAGAGCAACTCCCGATCAAATTCTCGACGTTGGCTTCAGAGTTGAAACGGCAGGAACCGCCGTTGAAGCAATTGCCCTCACAAAAGTTGACAGGTGTTTCGCACCGATCGCCTTTGAAGTTTGAACCACAGTGACACTGAAAATTTTCAAAACAAGTTATAATAAATTCTAAAAGTTTAAAAAAAAAATTTATAATTTTTTGAGAATGTAGTTTTTGCTTTCTTTTATCTTTAAAATAAGTTTAACCTTGATTGGTTTTTGTTCGTTGGGTGCAGTGACAGCAGTGACATCTACAACACAGAAGCCCTTGTTCTTGCAGTACTGCGAGCAACGGTACTTGTCACACAACTTGCCCTCATACAAGGGGTTGCACTCGCAGGCAAAGCCGCTCGGGGTGGACACACACTCGCCCTTGTGGCAGTTTAGAGGGCACTTTGGCGGTGCTGGGGTGGTGCGGTCTGCAGGGCGGCATGCGATGGAAGAAACGCCTGTCACACTTTGGCTCCTCTTCACTTCGGTCATTCCTTCGGGACACATGCAGCGGTGCTGCGTTCGAGAGCGCACCAGGCACATGGCTTCCTCAGCGCAGAGGTCATGATTGCAAGGGTTGGACACTTCAATTAGACAGATATTAATAGTTTTAATTGAAAAAAATATTTCTTTCTAAACTAACAGCAATTTACAACTTACAATTTCCTTTCTGCTTGTGCTCCTGAATGATAAGAATGTCTGATGCTCTGTGTAAGCCTTTCACCAGATAGGTCCAATTTCCAAGGCCAAACTTGTTCATTTTCATGATGTTATTTGTCCTGTAGGTGCTGATGTACAAAGAATCCTCAAACACCTCAATTTTGTATGGCTTGTCCTCTATAAATCATTAATTAATATTGTTTTTAAAACTACTTTTAGATTAGCAAACCTAGAGAGAATTTCTTGATTTCGTGCCTGTCCTTTCCTTCGAGGTCAACACTACTGACTGTCAATGCTTTTGGGTCCGTCCAGTACAACCTCCTGGAAGGGTAATCAATAGCCAGACCAGTTGGCCACTGCACCATTTTGTCCACTAGAGTTCTCCTGTCTGAACCGTCCATCCTGGCGGTTTCAATTCGAGGCTTTTGTCCCCAATCAGACCAATACATCCACCTAATAATGAAGTAATTAAAGAAAATGCTGAATTCAGCAAACTTCAACTTACCCTGATTCAGGGTCAACCCTGATGTCATGGGGTTGATCGAGTTGGGTGTTGATGAGCACCTTCTTCTGAGTCCCATCCATAGTGGCAACGCTGATCTCATCAGAGCCTGCGTCCACAAAGTACAGCTTCATGTTTACCCAATCGACTGACAGGCCTCTGGGGTCTTGCAAACCAGAAATCTGAAAACTTGTTTTAGTTTTGGGCAAAAATTTAATAAACTTTATTCACAATTGTTTTCGGTCCTTCCCGCTTTACCCTGTTCTTGACTGGCAGGGCAAGGCTTTGGATCACTTTGGTGTGGTGGTCTGTCCAGAAGACGTTTATGGACTCGTGGCTATAAAACAAAATGTCCACCGACTCAACTTTGAATGGTGCCTCTGCCTTGTCAAGGAACTGAGAAATCTCTGATCCTTTGTACGGATTAACCCTCCTCAGCTCCGAATCGCTTGCCACCATCAAATATGCACTTTGACCTAAATGACATTTCAAAATTAATATATTTTATAGTTTTAATGAAAGATTACCTTCAGCCTTGCAAGTTTTGGATTTGTCCCAGCCAATGGAAAAGCCTGGTGCACACTGGCAGGTAAAATTCTGTCCCTTTTTCTTATTACAGATTTGAGAGCAGGCGCCAAACACACATGGGCCAATGTTGCTGCAGTCCTCCTCATCACTGTTGTCCCCACAGTCATTCATGTTGTTGCATTTGAATGTTTCTTCGATGCACAGTCCGTTTCGGCATTGGAACTGAGAACGCTGGTTTTCACAGCTTGTGGCCACTCTTTGACCTGAGAGAATAATAGTAGACATTTTAAATGCATTGGTCTTAAATTTCAAAAAAAATACTAACAGGCATTTTCACTTTCGTCAGACCTGTCCCCACAATTGTCCACAGCGTCACAAACATTCACGTAGGGAATGCAAACATGGTTTTGGCACCTATTAATACACATAAAATGAATTACCTAAAAATGCAGAATTAATGAAAACTGTTACCTAAACTTTCCAGGCTCACACGAAGAAGTGGCGCACTTTGCTTTGTCCTCGTCAGAGTTGTCTCCACAGTCGTCGTCTCCATCGCACCTCCATGAATGCGCAATGCAGTTTCCATTTTGGCACATGAACTCAGGACAGGTCAAGTTGCAGTTCTTCTCGTCCGAGCCATCAACGCAGTCTGACTCACCATCACACTTCCATTCCCTAAATATTTTGTTAAGTACTTTGAATTTTCCTAACAAATATGAACTTACAATTGAATGCAAATAGCGCGGGACTCGCATTTGAACTCGGTGTCTGCACAAGTGACCGTACAGTTGTGCTCGTCACTCTGGTCAGGGCAATTGAACTCCCCATTGCACCTGAGATCACCCTTGATGCAGTGGCCGTCAGTGCATTTGAACTCAGATTCGCTGCAGTTCCTCAGGGTACAATTTTCCTCGTCTGAGTTGTCCCCGCAGTCGTTGTCATAGTCACACCTGTGTCTCCCAGGAATGCACCTAAATTTTAAATATTAGCACCACTATGGATTATATTATTTAAAACAGACTTGTTGTTTTTGCATCTGAAGTAAGATGGCTGGCAAGAGTGGAACTTTTCATTGTTGCACAGGTCTGGCTCGTCATCTTTGTCCTGGCAGTCGTAGTCACCATCGCAATGCCACATTAGCGGGATGCAGCGACCAGTGTTGCAACGGAACTGATCCTCGGTGCAGGTCCGTACAGTGCAATTCACATGCTCGTCAGACTTATCACCACAGTCATCCTCGTTGTCACACAACCAAATAGAAGGAATGCACTTGTTGTTGTCACACTTGAACTGAGGAACACATAATTTTTAAATTTCATTTCTAAAAGTTAAATTTAATGGTAATATAAAGCTGTTAATTTCAAGTCTTTTTTTTAATTTTTGTAATGAATGGAGAGAAAAATAGACAAATAAAAAGTACAAAAAATATGCTGTAAGTTGTCAAGTTTGATAATTTACAATAACATTTTTATTTTTACCTGACTTGATGCACAAGTTTTTTTATCACAACCGGCTTCATCTTCTTTCCCAGGACAGTCAAAAGCTCCGTCACATTTTTTACTATCTGGAATGCACTTGGCCGTCTCATTTTCATGCGTCGGGCACTTGAAGTAGCTAGGCAGGCAAGTGTACTACAAAAATTTTAATCACTAATTGATTTTTCATTTTAAACATTAAATAATCCTACTCTATCACAGTCCAACTCGTCTTTTCCATCATTACAATCTGCTTGCCCATTACAGATTTGGGATGGATGATGGCAGACATTCTCGTCACACTGAAACTGTCCTGGGAGACAGGTAAACTTAGGGCAATCCTCCGGTTCGTCTGAACTGTCTCCACAGTCGTCCTGAGTGTCACATCGCCACCAGAAGGGAATGCACTTGTAAGTGCTAGGACACTGGAAGTGCGCCGAAGTGCAGTTGGCGTTGCAGTCCCTGTTGTTCTTGTCCAGGACAAAGTTTTCTGGACAAGCGCACTGGGCGCCGCCGCCTGGCGTCAGTAGACACAGGGTGGAGCAGTTCAGGTTTGCACAAGGATTTTCTTTCACTAAAATTTTTGAAATCAAAAAGTGACCGTCAAGAGATTAATGGGTTTCATAATTACCTGGCATTTGTCTAAAAGGGTGGTAGGCGTGCAGGACCATTGGGCGATGAATCAGATGGGCAAGAACAACGCAGTTATCACCCTTGTACTTGTGACACCCCTCCACAGTTTTTGATTCCCAATCTGTCCAGTACAGGTAGTCCTCAAACACAGTAATGCCAAAGACGTGGTGCAGTTTCAAATTCTTATTCGTAGCTGAAATATAATTATTATTTTTTTTTTGTGGATGAACGAGTGAATATTAAATTATTTATATATGTTTATTCACACCTCTGCTCATGACAATTCTTCGATTTGCACCTTCCAAATCAGCCACTGCAATATAATCCCTGTCAGCATCAGCCCAGAAAATTTCGTTGGTCTCGTAAGAGATGACCAATGCGTTAGGCCACCCAAGGTTGTCAGTCACAATGTTCTTCCTGTGGGTACCGTCCATGCCTGCCTTTCCAATGTGAGGACTTTTGCCCCAATCCGTCCAGTACATATAACCATGTCGAGGGTCAACTGTAATTGCCCTAGGTTCTTGAAGCCCGGTGTTGATTAAAACCCGGCGGAAACGGCCGTCGAGCCTTGAAACTTCGATGGTGTCCGTGTTCTTATCGCACCAGTACAGATTTTCACCCACCCAGTCCACAGCAAGACCGTCGGGGTTCTTCACCGTCCCAGTTGGCAACAACTTTGGAATAAATCATTAGGTTTGATCAAACGAAGGCAAATCAAACAAAAATTATTAATTGTGTATTATAATTTAAAATCACCTCAATAACAGATTCGTTGCACATCCTCTTAATGCTGCTGCCATGACTGGTGATGTCCGACCAGTAAATGCACTGCTCTTTCCAGTGGAAGTCCAGGGCAACTGCACTGGTCAGGTTTGTGGCCAGCAGAGTAATATCTCCGTTCAAAGCTGTTTGCCTTATGTAGTACCTGTTCGAGAAGATCAACGAAGGCTCCACGGCTAACAAAAACTTAAAATTAAAGTGTTTTATATTAAATTTGTGACTTACTCGAGTTAGCTTTGCAGGAGTGGCCATTGGGCTTTAGGATGTACTGGTCTGTGCACGTACAGGCGTACGAACCCAAGGTGTTGCGGCACAACTGGGAACAGGGGTGTTCCGTCTCACACTCATTGATGTCCACGCACAAATTCTTGTCTGAAGGATTGACAGTGTAACCCTTGTTGCACAGACACTCGTACCCAATTTTCTTCTCCAAACAGATGTGGGCACAGACATTATTGACGCATTCAGCAATGTCTGAGATTTTTTGATTTAATAGAAAAAAAATTGATTTGCTTTTTTAACTTACTGCAATCAGTTTCATCACTGAAATCTCCACAGTCATCCTCTCCATTGCAAACCAGATTGTCATGCAGACAGATGTTGTTTTTACACAGGAACTCATCTTTGGAACACCCTTCTTTAGTGAAATTATCTGTTTTAACCAAATATTAAAATCAGCAGCTAATGACATTACTGCACTAATCTTACGACAAACATTAGGGAATTCGTCAGAGCCGTCGTAGCAGTCATTGCGTCCATCGCAGACAAGGCTGAGGGCAATGCACTGCTCGTTCTCACAGTTGAACTCATTTGATTCACAGGACCCTGTGGCTGAAGCACAACCCTGAGGCTCGTCAGAATTGTCGCCGCAATCGTCATCACCGTCACAGAAGTAATTTTTGGCAATGCACTTTTTGTTAATGCAGACAAAGTCAGAGGGGTTGCACTCGACATCACAGCTTGTGGTCAACTCGTCCTCCTTGTCTGGACAATCGGGGTCACCGTCACACAACCACGAGTTAGGAATGCACTTGCCACTTTTACATTGGAAGTGGTCACTGTCACAGGGCCCTGCAAACGGTATTCATTGCATAAAAATTTTGCATTTGCAAATATTATATAAGATATATGATAGGTACTCACTGCAATTGCCTTCCTCGTCAGATCCGTCAATGCAGTCAGGGTTGCCATTGCAGAACAACTTGCTGGGAATGCATTCACCACTTGTGCACCGGGAATGACCCTCTTTGCAAGAGTGCTCCTTATCTACATCTGAAAACATCACAATCACGTTCGTAAGTTAAGTAAACTTTCAAGTTAAATCGGTTTGTAAATTTCCCAAACATTAACACTTACTGCAGCCTTTTTCGTCAGAGCTTGGAACCTTGTCCTCGTTGCAATCATTCTCACCATCACAAACCCAGGCCTTGTCAATGCAGTTGCCATTATCACATTTAAATTGTCCTTGACTGCATTCCAGTGGCACTAATTTGAGAACAGTTGTTTAGCAAATAATCAAAATTTCCTTAAGAGTTCAAAAGTACCATGCTTTGGAGGACAGTTTTCTTCGTCTGTGTTGTCCCAGCAGTCATCTTCACCGTCACAAATCCAGTTGGGGTAAATACAAGCTGTTGTGAAGTTGCAGTTTATTAGGCTTAGGTCACTTGTCCCTTTGTTTGAATCATAATGCTTGTCATTGTTTGTGCAGTCCACACGAGCTTAAGAATTATAATTTATATACATTGAAGCTTTTAAATTTGGGACTTACGACATCCCATTTCGTCACTGGCGTCCGGACAGTCAGCATCTCTGTCGCAAACAAGCTGACGCCTAATACAAGTGCCATTTTTGCAGCGGAAGCCATCATTTGGGCAAGAAGTGCAGTTGAACTCATCAGAGTTATCCCCACAATCATTCTTGTTGTTGCAGAACAAATTGTTCTCAATACACCGTTTGTTTGTACATTGGAAGTACTGATCTGGACACTTTCTAGAGCCTTGAATGGAGAAAAAAAAGGCAAAGCTGTATAAAATTTTAATCATTCTTAGCAAAGTTTTATCAGTAAGATGATTATTTTGCTCATTTCTACGTATTTTAAATTATATTTAAGATTAAATTTTTAAAAATGATTGAAATCAACCAAGATAATTATATGCATATCGTTGGGGATTACAAATGGCCACTATCCCCTCTACTTCATTACATTATATTCCATGCAATAGAGAGTAGGAGCGCCACCTCAGATTGGCCATATTTGGCATAGCCGACGATGAAAAATACAATTTTAATCCATTCATTAAATGTGACAAAAATTGTGAGTTAAAGCTGTAAACTTACTGCAATATCTGGGGTCTTCATCGGATTGATCAGTGCAGTGCGGGAAGCTATCACAGGTAAGTCTGAAAGGAATACAGCCTCCATTGCTACACTGGAAATGATTGGCCTCACAGGAGCTCCTGATAGGCACACATCTTTTGCCATCAGCGTCCAGCGTCCGACCAGTCCTGCAAGTGCAAGACACCACACCATTCTTGATGGTGCAAATATCTTCACAGCCACCATTTAACTTCCGGCATGGACTCGACGAAGCAGTACCTAAGTTAAAGGTTTGAGAGATAAATTTATATAAGCTGATTAAATTTTTTATTCATACAGTCATCAGCGTCTTCAGCAACAGCAATGATTCCCATAGGCCTGGGTACTTCCCTCCGAAGGGTAATTGTCTCTTCGCCAGTGTACTTGTTGGCCCTCATCACAGCATGTGTCACCCAGTCAGTCCAGAATACAAACCCTCCATATACAGCAATGTCAAATGGATGTTGTGGGGTGGTTTTCGACAAAATCTGAAAATTTAAAATTTAAATATAAAAGATAATATGTATATTAATTTCATTTAAGATAAAGACACGAAGTTTTTTAGTCAGTGTAAATTAAGATAATTATCCCACAATTTAACGATATTTTAATATTCTCTCCTTACTATACAAAATAAAAACCTTACCATTCTGTTGCTTCCATCATACTCGCATCTCTCGAGCTTGTCCATCCGGGCATCTGCCCAGTACAACTTGATTTCCTTATGATCCAGAGTGATAGCATTTGGCATCCGTATGTTGGTGGTGATGATTGAATCAACACCAATGCTTCGGAAGTAAGACCTCTGGATTGCAGGTCTCTGTGCATCCCAGTTGGTCCAATAAACTCTCCTGCAGAATTTAATTAGAAACCAATTAATGTAAGAATTAAAAATAATTACTCGCTGCAGGCATCCAGTGAAATTCCTCTAGGTTTGCCAGAAACTCCCAGCTGCACCACAACATTTGGTTTGGAGTCATTAGAATTAAGCAAGAAACTATTGATGGTGGCGTCATTTGTGCATGTCCAGAAAAGTTGGTTTGTGAATTTTTCGTAGGCCAAACCCTCCACAGCACCAAGTTCTAAAATTTAAATTTGTAACAATTCTTATTTTAAGATTTAATTCAAAACCCACTATCTAAAATAACTTTGTGTGAAGATCCATTGAAAAAGACGCTGTTGATGCTAGCCTTTTGAATGTCTGAGTAGAAAATGGTCTGGCGTTTGTAGTCGTAGGTCAGACCAATGGCATTACTCATAAATTCTGCCGACTTAATGCTTTGGAATGGGGCGTTTGGATTGAACTCGTCAAACATGTGGATGCTGTCAATCTTGGACACCCTCGAGTACATTAAGAAACTGTCATAGTCTGAAGCAAGAATTAATTAGAGACACAAATTAAATGTTTTGAAAAATATACCTTCACAGGTCTTTCCGTCCTTTGCTGTTATTTTTCCATGGGCACAAGCGCAGACAGGATGAGTACCATTGAAAAGACACAACTCTTGACAACCACCATTTTCAGTGGCGCATGGGTTGGTGCCATTTTGCTTCTGTTTGGAGAAGACGAGGATGTCTTTCAACGAATCACCCAGACCATCTCTTAGAAGTGTGTAGTCGGAGAGATTTGTCAGAGGGGCCTGCTTTAGACTTCCTCCATCGTGGGTTCTAAAAAACAAAATTTAAGCACAAATTGCAGAATTAATTGTACACCTTACATATCAATCCAATAAATTTGGTCGTTGAAAACCGATATGGCAAAAGGATTGTCCAAACTAGTGGAGTCAAGCAAGACTTTTCTTCTGGTGCCATCATAATTTACCCTTTCAATTTTGTTTGTGGCCGAGTCACACCAGTACAACTTTTTTCTCTGCAAAATTTAATTAAATTAGGCAAAAAATTAACTAATTGTATAAAAATACTTCATAATCAATGGCTAGGTCATTGATGTGACTGATGCTCTCGTTAACAATGATTCTCCTGTTTGATCCATCGAGCTTGGCAGATTCGATTCTTGGATTTCTTCCTCCATCCACCCAGAACAACATTCCTGCCACTGGGTCCACTGCAATTGAAAGTGGCCTCTGCATGTCACCGTTTATGACCACATATCTGTATGACCCGTCCAGACGAGCCACTTCAATCACACTGAACTTTGGGTCTGTCCAATAAACATTGCCTGAAATATATATGTAAAAATTTAGAATGGAATTTATACATGGCTAGTTTTAAGAGTGAAGAGTTACTTTATTTTAAACTGATCAAGGCTCTATTAAAAAGTTTAAGTTTGAATACCCTATTTGATAAAAACTTATATAAAAGTGAGGACAAGCTTTGCAAAGGTGAGAATAAATTACCTGCAATCCAGTCAACTGCCAAACCTACAAAAATGCCAAAATTAAAATTTGCAGAAAATAACGCAAACTAAAATCAACAATTAACAAGTGCATCACTATCATGCAAATGGTGTTGGTGAAAAATTAATAATAAAAATAACCTGCAATCCAGTCAATGGCAATGTTTTCTACTGACTCATGGTGCTCAACCACTTTGTGTCTGTTCGTTCCGTCTCTCTTAATGCTAGTGATGCTTCCCCGGTCAGAGTCCACCCAAAATAGCAAGTCCAGATCTGAGAAATCAAATTAAGCAAAAGGGAAACCTTCTTTCTTTAAGAAAATACCTGCATGAAAGTCAATGCTGGTGGCCATGGAGACTCTGGAGATGGGGGCCAAGACGTTGGTCACATTTTTGTCCCCGAGAGACATGCCAACGATCTTCCAGTTTAGCGAGTAGAAAATAAATTCCTTCACTCCAATGCACTTTGTATGGTCCAAGGGGTCCACTGAGTAGCCAGAGGCGCAGTGACAAGTTCTCTGTGTAGATGACACTGGCAAACAAAGGTGGGAGCAGTTGCCCTTGTTCACAGAGCACAAGTTGTCTCCAATTTGCAAAGTCGGGTCGTAAATCCTCAAAGATCGAATTTGTCCTACAATTCAAAATTGATCTTAGTTAAAAATAAAATATTAGTTCCATAATGGGTACCAGTATTCTTTCTAAGGATTCTGTCATTTTCAGCTGTTGTCTTGTCAGCCACTCGAATGGCCACGTCAAAGTTGTTGGAGTAATAAATGGAGCTGTGGTAAACTACAACAGTACTCGGTTGGGCGTTTCTCTGAAGAGGAACTTTGCGAACATCTGAGAGCTTGAAATCATAGTATTCAATTGCATTTTGCTCAGAATCAACCCAGTACAAACGCAGGTCCTCAAGGTCCATACTCAAGCCTGATTAATTTAGTCAAAGTTTATTAGGACGTCAATAGATTAAATTATCAACCTACTTTTTGGAGCCCAGTTGGAGTCTGCGCGTGGTTTAGAGGTGAGGATTTTCCTTCCACTGCCATCCATTTTTGAGGTTTCAATAACATTAAAATCATAATTTTTAGCGCTCCAGAACAAATCTCCTCTCAGTGGATCCAGAGCCAATGACTTCAAATCAAACATGTCATTTTCTACAATCCTGGTGAAATATTCTCCTTCCAAATTGCAAGCACTTATAACACTTTTGTCTGTTCCCCAGCCTATGAACATGTTACTCGAGATCCAATCAATGGCCAGCCCGCTTGGATTTTCAATGGCTAAAATTTTCCCATTTGTTATAAAATCAAATTCAGGACTTCAATCTCAAACCTGTGTCAATAATGACTTCAAGAATGCTGCCAGTGAGACTGGTTCTTTTCACCTCATTGACTTGGATGTCTGTCCAGTAAATCTGCCTATTTTTAGAGACGAAGTCAATTTCAGAGGGTGAAACCACATGAGGAAGACTGATGGTTGGTATAGTGTGGTAGTAGGGTAGACTTAGGTCTACTCCTCGGATCTCATTCGGACGAGAGAAAAGTAGGACGGTTTCATTAACTGGAAGAATTAATACAAAAAATTATTTGTCAAAAACACAAATTAAAAAAAAAAATACCTTTGCAAGTCTTTTGGTCATCATCGAGTTTCATGACATGAGGGCATGCACACTTGTAAGTCTGGTTGAAGTTCAGCAAGCACAAGTGAGAACAACCACCATTATTCACACCACAAGGACTTTTCACTTCAATAAGAGAAATGATAAAAATAGAAATTTTAGGTTTCAAAAAAAGTTACCTTTAGGCTGTCTACTGGGGTGCAAGATCTGTATATCAAAGGGTTGTGTCAGCGTGCGCTGAATGACACTAACGTCAGAGCCATTCCACTTTGAGGCTCTGATAACTGAATTGGTTCTCCAGTCTGTCCAGTACACATAATTTTCAAACAGGGCAATGGCGAATGGGTGAGTTTGAGTTTCATGGCCTCTCATCACTTCTCGATAATCACCTCCGTCGTAGGTGGTTGTGTGAATTGAATCAGACCTGAGCTCAGAAAATAGTATGGAATCGATTTTCAAAATTTAATTTTACTTGGCATCAATCCAGTAAATCCTCTGCAGGACGTAATCGAGAGTAAGACCATTTGGCCAAGCCCCATCTGTGACCTTGTCGACTCGAATTATTTCCTTCCTACCGTCTCCACTCATGCTGCACCTTTCAATCCTAGGTGCATTGGCATCCCAATCAGTCCAGAACAAATATCTAAAATCAAAATTAAAATATTTAATAAATTTAAGCCTTTTTTAAATGACCAAATTACCCAAATCTGGGATCCAAAGCAATGGCCCTTGGTGACTCCATGTCTCCGGCAATCAATGTACGCCTGAAGCTGCTGTTCAGCTTGGCCACTTCTATCTGGTCTAGGTTGCTCTCCACCCAGTACAGGTTGTGGCCAATCCAATCAACTGCCAGGCCTTCCGCAGTGGCCAGACCGGTCTTCACCACAGCCTTGATGTTGATCAGCGCTAAAGATCAAAAGTGTTTAGATTTGAGTGTTAAAAAGGGAGAAAACTCACATCCTCCAGATAAAGTTCCCTGGTAGATTTTGTCATCAATGACATCCGTCCAAAAAATTGTGTCTCCTTCGTCTGAGTGAAAGAAATCGAGCGCTATTGTATTTTTCAGGGTTGAAACCAAAGCCCGCATTTGGAAAGTCGTCAAGTCAACTCCTCGGATCTCGTGGCGGTTGCTAAATATCACATAAGGAATGGCGGAATCTACTCAAAAATATATTCAATTATGAACTTATTGGTTAAATGCAATTTTTTACCTGTGCTCTGGCAAGTGAATCCATCAGCGAGGAGATTGTAGTCTGGCTCGCAACTGCACTTGTGTCTCTTTCCGATTTTGATGCAGTTTTGGGAGCAGGTGCCCCACATGTCACAAGGATGGGTTTGCAGGCAAGTCAGTCCGTCTGTCTGTAGGTGCAGATTAGTGGGGCAGTAACAAGTGGAGCCTTCTGGAGTGTTGTGGCAAAGGTGGCTGCAGTCGATTCGATGACTGCACTGGTCCTCATCTGTTGAAAACATCTATATCACAAAGTTAACAGAAAAAAATGTAGACTTTTCTTACCACAACGAAGTCCTTCATCCGATCCGTCTTCACAGTCTTTGGCGTTGTTGCACAGACTATCTACAGTTATGCATTTTGTGCTATTGTCGCAGAGTCGAGAGGGAGGTTCACAAGTAGGAGGCGAGGGGGTTGTAGGAGCTTTGGTGGGTTTTTTGCCACCTGGGAAAAATATATGTCATGATTTTGTTGGATTTTGTAATTTGAACTGAAAAAAATGGTCTTTCGATTTAGTAAATTATTTCTCTTATTGCAACTTATTTTCCTCCTAACAAAAATTTTTGTTAACTGTTTTACTTGTTAGGAGAAAAATATAGTGTATTGACATGACATGCAACATATTCATTTCTAAAATTCAAAATATTTTAAACAAAACTTACATTTTGTTTCTCTTTCATCAGATCCATCCATGCAGTCCTCCTGTCCATCACAGACTAGTTTTAGAGGTATGCACTGATCTCCGTTGTTGCAGCCCCACTCGGAATAACCACAAGATTTTGGAATTTGAGTTGGAACTCCATGGTGATACGTGACTCCTGTTGTGTAGGTGCAGTTTACTTCATCAGAGTCGTCGAAGCAGTCTGCCTTGCCATCACACTTCATGAAATTAGGAAGACAGTTTGCTCCGTTTCCACACAGAAACTACACAATAAGAAGTAGAAATGAGTGAACATTTGTTTAAAACAGATTGAATATAAGGTAATTTCTTTTGCATAAATTGCACCTGTCGTTGATTCAAAAATTATTATAGAAAGTTATTAGAAGTTAATTTCAGAGCTGATTTAATTTAAATGTAACATACTGAGGTTGTGAGATCACACTCCACTTTTCCACAGTTGGTCTCATCACTGTTATCCCGACAGTCTGTGTAGCCATCGCAGACCAGTGTGGCAGGAATGCAGTGGGAGTTGTTGCAGCGGAACTCGAAGGTGTTACAGGGCTTTGGCTCACCTTTTTAGATGAAAATTAGTATTCTCGTCAAAAATGGCTTTTTATTTCTTACAATTCATTTCGTCAGAGCCATCGTCACAGTCGGACTCGCCATCACACAGCCAGCTGGAGGGAATTTGGCGGCCCCCACACTTAAGAAGGTCTGCTGAGGTGCTCTTTGGACAGTTTGCCTCGTCTTCCCCATCAATGCAGTCGGTGTTGCCATCACACATTCGCTGCTTCTCGATGCAGTAGTGCTTGTTACAGGAAAACTGGTCTGGACCACAAGTCACATTGTCTGCAATAAAAAATTTGTAAAACCAACATAAGAAAAACAGAAAAGAATAAAATTTAGTTGGAACAACTAAAATATTTCTTTATTAAAAACATAACAAATAGGGTTTATGCTTACAGCAAGCGCCACCAGGTTCAGTGTTTTCGTCCGAGCCGTCTTTGCAGTCATCGTCACCATCACAGAGGAACTTCATCTCAATGCACTTGAGGTTTTTGGTGCACTGGAAGTCCGTCTCCAAACAGCGGACATACGGCACAAAGGTCTCGTCCTTGTCACAAGTAAACACAGGGTTGGATGTGTTGTGCTTGTAGCCGTCCCTGCAGGAGCACACGGCGCCATCAGGGGCGGACAAACACAGCTCGGGACACTTGTTGTAGTTATTGTCCGAGCAGTCATTAATTCCTGTTCAAATTATTGTGAAACTCTCATTTTTTAATCTGTGCAAAAAAATACTAACCAACTTGAGATGAGTTGTCGTAAAGAATGATGTTGTAAACAGGAGGGTTCATCAGAGCCAAGATCTCGAGGGTTTTGTTGTTCATGTAGTACTTGATGACAGACCCATTTTGCATTTCTGTCCAGAAGAGCATGTCATTGTAGTAGGCCAGACCATAAGGACTTTTCAATTCGTTGCCCTCAAGAATTACTTCTCGGTTTAAGCCATCCAGATTGATCCTTTCGATAACGTTTTTGTGGGCATCACACCAGTATAACTTCTTTCCAGTGTAGTCTATTGTCAACCCACTGGGCCACTTGACGTTCTTGTTCACAAAGATTTGGCGCTGAGAGCCATCCATGGCCGCCTTTTCAATTCTGCCAGGCTTTAAAGACTGGCTTTCAGACCAATCCGACCAAAACATCCACCTACAAAATAAATCCAATAATTCCATAAGTTATAATTTACTTTTTGCTTAATTGTACCCTTTCTTAGGATCAACCACAATGTCTCTGGGATTGTGAAGATCTTCGTGAAATAAGGTTTTGGTGACACTTGTGTTGTCTAGCTTGGCAACTTTGATCAGCTTGAGGGCGTCGTCGGTCCAGTAAATGTTCCTCGCCATCCAATCAATTGCTATTCCCTCACAGTTGTTGATTCCAGAGTCAATTACTACTTCTCTCTGGGAGCCGTCTAATTTCCGCCTCTCAATAGTGTATCTAAATTTAATTTGTTAATTAAAGCTTTTTTCACAATTGTTTTCTACTTTGGTGGATCAGAGAAGTAAATGAACTGGGTGCGCACGTCGTAGTCAATGGCAGTTGGACGGGAGACACTGCTGATAGGGATCATTCCTTGCTCCACTGCTTTGTTGTTGATAGATATGCCTTTGATGCCTGGAGGTCTGCCTTTGGAGAAGATCAAAAACTCTGTTTGCTTAGCGACTGGAAAAAAAATCATTCAAGATCTAGGAGAGCATTTAAAGTAAGTTAGGTACCCAAGCATTTTCCGCCCTTAGTCAGCCTGAAACCATCCTGGCACAAACACTGAGCAAAAGGTTTGGAGTTGTTCCACGAGGTGACACAAATTTGCTGACAACCTCCATTTTTGTACTTGCAAGGGTGATCAACTAAAAAAGAGATCAAATTTTTGAGAAATTCTAAAACAGCATAACATGGAAGTACCATCTGGTTGCCTCTGTCTGTGGTAAACGTGAATTTTACTGACTTCATTGTAAGTGGCGACTTCCTTTGGTTCTCGGAGACCAAATCTATCTATGTCGAGAATTTTTCTTGTCTTCCACACAGACACAAATATGCTGTTTTCAAAAACCGAGATCCCATAAATTTGTTCCAGCTAAAACTAGATATTTTAGAAAGTGTTCTGGATCTTAAAAATGTTTGCTCACCGTGGCGCCCTTTTTCAATGACTTTCGGTTGCCTCCGTCATAGTCCACTCGCTCTATTTGGGCCAAAAATGAGTCTACCCAATATACATGCTGATTGGGAAAATCAATTGCCACTCCATAGGGGTACACAATCTAGAAGGTTGTTTTGTTAATCAATTATGAATAAGACATAATTAAAACCATTACTTTATTGTCGACGATGACCTCTCTGGATGTGCCGTCTAAGTTTGCTCTTTCCAGAGCAGGTATTGTGAAACCCCACTTAGTGAAGAACATGACACCTCTGGTCGGGTCCAAAGCAATTGACCTGGGCTTGCTGATTTGGTAATCGATTAGGACGGTGCAGTAGAGCAGATTATTGTTGCACAGGTACATAATTTCTTTGGTGTCGTCCAGCAGGTACCAACTGCCGCTGATCCAGTCAAGGGCAATTTCGGAAATAGCTACATTTATAAATTTGAATTATCATTTTCTTAAATGAATAAAATTAATTACTGGTGGCAATGCAGGTTGGGTGTTTGCACTCCTCAGTGAAGAGCTGAGGCAAGGGAAGGGCCCAGGAGCGTGCCAGGTTGCTCACGTCGGCGCAAACAAGCTGCGCCTTGTTGTACGAGTGGATGTAGCACAAAGTTCGGTTTCGGTGGTCAAAGTCCATGCCGAACAAGTGTTGGACAGGCAGGGAACTGTTTCCAGGAACTGCAGTTCCGTCCAACTGCAGACGCACTAGTAGTTCGTCTTTGCTTGCTAGCACCAAAGTTGGTACAGTATTCACAGGTACTGCAAAAATAGACAGATTTTGTTTAGACTTCGGGATTTTTCTTAAATTTGAACTGGCCAAAAGCTGGTAATGGCATTTTAGGCAAGAAAATAATAATAGTAAATAAAAATAATTGAGAAAAAGTAAATAAATCAACAATTAATGAACGGTAAAATGTGGAATACGATTTTTTGGCTCACAATGCCATTATATTGTGGATGTTTCCTTAGCTTTGATGAGCAAAACCAGGCAAACCTCCGAGTTCGAGTCGGTACAGCTTGCGCCATACCTCTCGAATTCCCAACTTGTCAGCCAAAATGTTATCAATGATTCGCATGCCAGAGGCTATTTGTTTCCACAAATCGCCTCAGGCTGAGCATCGACCCCATGGAGGCCGAGCAACCCACTGATCAGAATGAGAGCACTCTAACCACTGAGCCACCGGGCTTGGTTCTGCAACCCATGTAATTGTGTAATTGAATATAGAAAATTTTACCATTTGAACATGTTAATTGCTAGAGAACTGTATTTAACCGACTAGAAAAAAGCCGGAAAATATATGTCATAATTCTAGCTCACCATTGATAGCTTTGCAGTGGGTGCCCTGCAGTTGGTAGCCTGCTACGCAGCTGCAAGTGTACGATCCGACTGTGTTTGAGCACAACTGATCGCAAGAGCCATCCATCAAGCACTCGTTTGCGTCTTAAAGTAAAAAAAAAAACAATTTTGATTTATTGGGGTCTCTGATGAATTTTGAATTCGTACCTTCGCACCGGGTGCCATTTGGCTGCTGTCCAAGAGGACAATAACAAACGGCGCCGTGCCGAGTCATTCGGCACTGGTAGCTGCACTTGGCTATTTCACAAGCCTCTGTGTTTCCTAAAATTGGAGTTAAAAAAATTTAAAAAGTGTAAAAATTCTTTGTTACTGCAAAATTCTCCTTCGTCGGAGCCGTCAGGACAGTCACTGCGTCCATTGCAGAAAACTGCGGTGGGTTTGCAAGTGACTTTGTCCTCGCACTTTGTCATGTGCGGGGGACACCTGACCTCATTGTGACCTGCAAATAAATTCCCATCAAATCAAGTGTGATAGGCAAGACATGTGACCTCACATCTCATGGGGTCTTCGTCCGAATTGTCTTTGATTTTGCCCTTGTTGCAGTCGACGTCGCCGTCGCACACCCACCCAAACGGAATGCACTTGTGCGTGTACGCGCATTCAAAATGCTTCGGCTCACACGCCTGGGCCCCTACACAAATTGGAAGAAAGATTATGCAAATATTCAGAGCTCAATAAATTAGCACTAGTTATTTAAAATTCTAATGTTTTCTAAAAGATAATATTTCAAATTTTTTAGAAAGTAAATTATTTAACAAAAATTAATCCAGAATTACATTAGGTGAGCCTAAAAATTAATATACATATATATATATATATATATATATATATATATATATATATATATATATATATATATATATATATATATATATATATATATATATATATATATATATATATATATATATATATATATATATATTGAAGTTGTACTCAAATGAGTTTCAAATAAAAGAATATATATATATATATATATATATATATATATATACACACACACATATAATTTCAACGGGTTAATTTAAAGCACACACACACCTCGTCTACGCTGAGCTTCTGCAGGGGTTACGTCTGCGTGGACAAAAGTTAGTAGGTTAGCTTTTCAACAAAGGTATTAGTCACACTTAAACATATATAAGCTTGAAACTCTTTAAAACGAAAGCCCAATTGATTATTTTGTTAGTGACAAAACTACAGAAGAAAACGGGAAAAAACTATTAAATATAGCTTACGGCACTCGGGAGGCTCGTCGGAACCGTCCTCGCAGTCTGGACTGCCGTCGCACTTCCACCGCAGCGCGATGCACTTCTTGCCGTCAGCGCACTTGAACTCCGTCTCGCTGCATTTTAGGCCTTCTGCGAACAAAATTGTAGTTTGGTAATTGTTGTAATGTTTAAATTTTTGTAATTTTCTAAAAATATATTGATTAATTTAATGAACTGAATATTTTACATCTTTTTGCAGCGAACTTTGCAATATTAAATGTATTCGAATGCTATATTTGGGCAGATAATGCCCAGAGATATATCAATACAAATATTTAGTATCTGAAATGTCATCGCGAGCCAAGGTCGCCCCGCGCGGATTAGAGCGAAAATCACGTGGCCAAACAAGAAAGACAAAACAATCGTGAGCGAAAGGGATAAGTAAAAAGAAAAGAAAACGCTGCTTTTATGTATTTCCAGACGTCGCGAGTGCTTTCGTGGGGCGACTGAATCAACGCTTGCAAAATTGCTACCTATTGATCGTGCGGCGGCTTCATTTTGAGAGTAATCAGCTTTTTCTGTCTGCGTATGTAAAAAGCTCTCAGCACCGCCGTTTGCAATAACGACGCGCTAACGCGAACTGATGGGAACAAGGATTTTCAAGTAGCAGAAGAGATGGTCAATGTCAGAGAATAGAAAGATCACATGTGTATTTTTTTATGCAAATTTATTGTGGATGGAACCTTTTCAGACCGCAAAAACCCTCTTCAGAAATAACCAAAAAGACATCTTTCATATATTTTTTTTAAAATTATAATATGGACAGCGTAGATAAATAATAGTTTAGCAGCTTTCTGGAGACGTAAAAATTTTTCTTAGGAAGGATAGAGATAATAAAAAAATGAAATTTCAGCTGTTGTGACCAATTATCAAGGCTTGAATAAGGAAATAAACTTACTGCCCCCAGAAAAGAAGAAATCAGGGATAGCCAAAATATTTGCCACATCTTTGCGAATTGTTCTTAATTTAGCTATTACATTTAAAACCGGTTGGAAAAGGTTGGTTCAATATTGATTTTAATTTTCAATTAAGGATACTTCAAAATAATTTAGACAAATAATAACTTGTGTTTCACATTTTGAGATATAATTTATTTGACGTTTGAGCCGGCGAGTGTTTGTTCGGTCAGGAAGGGAAGGTCACATCCATCACGATCGTCAACAAGTCTTTCTTTATTAGACACTTATCTCATTGGCCGCTTCCTCGTGGCCCACATCATCAAGTCACTCGCCAGCAGAGATAAATAAAACAAATATCTCCCATCTGCAGCATTTGACTGAGGTCTGCCTGTTTTTGCACGAAATTTAACTGGCGCGCCCTCGTGACGATTAATCAATCAGCAGACGGCTAACATCCTTCCTTAGCACCCTGTCGTTTGATGGATGGGGGGATGAGGTCTCTTCTCAAGACTCTTCCTCACAAAAAGTGATCTCGTTTAATTTTCATACCGTTCAAAAAACAATACAGGCCTTTTGGAGCGTTAAATATAGTTTGAAAAAATTTACCAACAGGCAAAGTTTACTTTAAATTACGAATATTTAAAGACCCCACACGGATAAATTTTGCAATTGTCGATACAAAAAATCTGTCTAACATTTATTTATTAATTGGAAGCTGTGCGATCTTCAAGTTGGTAAAGGCGGTGAGAATTTTATCGATCGCGCTATATTACTTTGTCACTTAAGTCATATTTGATTTTTTGAATGCAAAGCAGCCTTTTCTTGAAATTTTTGGAAATTTGTACTTACGAAAACCAAATAATATTCTGAACGTTTTTGATCCTTCGAAATTCATTTTTACGTGTTATTTACAATACAATTTTCTCCGTCACTGGAAGACAGGAAGGAAATTCCGCCCGAAGCGCGAAAACAAAGTGGATGATGAGGCGAAAATCGATCAGTCGCCTGCGAGTTTTCAATTTCTCCTCCCCAGCACGTTTATCATCGGCGCGTCAGACAGTTTTGCATCAACTCTTTCTTCTTCCATCACCCTGTTAGAGCGACACCTCTTTCTTCTTTTTAGCACCCCGCGAGAGAGGGTGCGTGTAATTCTTTTTATCTCTCAAGTGGCGGCAAAACACACTTGTGCGATCTTTGCGCAATCGGCCAATTAGATCTTTCTCGTCGCGGCACAAAGGGTAGAGTTACGTGCTGCACATATATTAGTGTCAGTGGCCAATTACTGCGACGTGGCTGTATGACTCTGACCCCCACAGACATCTTGCTTGATAATCTCATTAAACTTGCCTTCGTGGAGGTTCAAGAAGCGTCGCTTCTGATCAAAACTTTCTGACTGAAATTAGACTTGAGTTGCAATTGGGGTTACTCGTTTGTTTAATTAAGAGTCTCGACAACTTTCAGAAAATAGAAATTCCACGGCTAAGATCCTCGTTGGCAAATTATTTTTGATCAATAAATGAAAATAATATCTTTAAGTCCTAACAAAGCAAAGCAAACAAAATCTTAATTTTGAAAAATAATTTCAAGATTTGGTTTGACTCATGGCATTTCAATTAAAATTCTGCCTTTCCCGGGAAAGTTTTTTTGTTAGTAGTTTATTGTTTCGTAACAAAATATTTACAAACCAGTAAATAAACGATAAAAACAATTCAAAGAAAATTCAAATTTAAATTGAAACGTGGAAATGAAGATTCGGGCTTTTCCTCTATTATTTTAAATTTGAGTCACACTGACTATTAAATTAGTATTTAATGATCATTTACATACTTTTTGATTGATTAAAAACAGTTTGATCGTAAATTTAAGCAAGCAAATCATACAAAATTTTAAGAAAAAATACAAATTAGTTACTTTAAAAATTTACAATTCACAAAGATTAAAGTTAGGCAATCGCTCGTCACGAACGTCACACGGGTTGCATAAATTGAAAAAAGCTGTTTGATGTCCATGGTGATAATTACAATTAACAAACAAACCATTAGCAAAACAAACAGAGTATCACCACCAATTGAAACTTTCGACCTGTGTGTAATAATCGTTAATTGGCCCAACGAAGCGCATTCTCGTCGAAATTTATTCGGTTGGCACTTCAGCGAATGAACCAAATGGAGTGGTCTGGGTCAGCCGCATCGTGTGGAGCAAAGAGCGCGTCAAGGGTCGCATCTGCCTCGGCCGACAGACCTTTCAATCCGAGAATGCCTAATGAGATGAATAATTTACAAGCGACAGCGCTGAAAGCACGACAGTCTGCTGAGCTGGCGGAAATAAAAAGACGCTGCGAAAATGAGACGAGCGCTTTTCCAAAAGAGAGCACGGACTTAAAAGTTTCGTGCCAAAGATTTAAGGGCGGTTGCTGCAAATTGCCGTTTCGATCGCCTATTAGCCTTCACAACTTTCGACCTTAAAAGAACAAGTTTCCTGATTTGAAAAGTTGGAATGGGAACTGCAGTGAAGTTTCAAACTTTTCAATTTTATATGAAAATAAATTGTTTTCATTTTGTGGAAATAATTAAGTGCTTTTGATATGAAGCATGTGTAGAATATTCATAAATTTTTAGTTAAAAAAGGGAAAAATTTAATAGAAATTTAATAATTAAAATAAATCAAAAGCTGTTTAAAAGACTTATTCAAAAATTTAGGTCAATTTTTGTTCAAAACTCGAACCACAATTTTAAAAGAAATTAGAGCATTTTTTCCATAGGCACGTTTTTTCATCAAAGTTCCGAAATTCCATTTCGCCTCCACACCAAGAGCATCATGACGTTGAAACAAAAGGGAGCCCTGTACAAAGCTCGTCGTCCTTGAGAGCTCTAACATGTGTTTGTATCTGTCTTTGTGCTCACATGCATTGTTCAAACGTAATTATTCGTCTTTCGGGTAAACAGACAGCAAAACTTTGAAAGTCAGAAGCCGGCGGTTAATTCGCACAGCACAAATTAAATATCACGGTGGAGATTAATATTTAAGCAACAAAAGCAAGGCCAAGTTGAGAGAACATTTGGAGAAAGATGAAAAAAATAGTTGGATTTATTTTGAATTAAAATTATTAACAAGAGTTTCATTTTGATAAATAAATAAATAAAATAAAGTTTCGACAAAAACAAAGAGCGAATTTAATAGAAAAAGTGAAATAGCAAGTGAAATTAAAATAGAGTTTTAAACATGAGAACTTCAGTTTCATTTCCTTGATTGTTGGCTGATTGAGAGACGGGCTATGTGCGCACACGTGATGGTTTCCTCACCCGAGGCGCGAATAAAGCAGTCGCGGTGTGTGGCTCGGGCGAGACATCAAGATCAAGAGGCGATAAAACGAAGGAGAGGCTGCGATCCTCATCATCAAAAACTCGGAATCAATTAAGTTTGCCGCGCTTTTTCTTTTTTTCTCTCCATGATCACTGTAGCAGTCGGCGATAATTTCTCGCACGTGTTTTCACTAGATAATATTTTTTTCCTGCCGAATTACAATTCTGTGCAATGAGACGCTCCATCTGGTTTTGAGCAAAGTTAATGGCTGCTGATAAGGCATGAATATGGATGATTGAGTCATGCAGGCCGTAAAATGCCATGTGTTTATACACACTGGCCCTCTCGGTTCATGTTCCAACTGCAGAGATTGTGCTTTTAACGGGCGTGTGAACATTTAATTACCAGCAGACGGTGTTCGTCAAAGTCTGATTAGTTATCCCAAGAGTAAATCTCATTATTTGGAGATGAACAAAGGAAGTGATTCAAAAATAACTTCCAAGATGACGGTTTAATAGGAGATTAAAATTTAGAGCCAAAGAAATTAAAAGGCTGAGCATTTATTTAATATTTTTCAGTCAACCGGGAACTTTGCAAAAAAAAAATCAGTCGCACTTTCTAATGAGAGCTGACATCACCAAACGTTTGGCAGATAGAATAAGTAAATAATAAAAGTGCTAATTTTAAGAACTTCAACGTCCCAAATCGATTTCCTCGCTATTCGTTTACAATTTGCATAACACATTTGAAATTAAATCATTCCAAAATAATTTTTCAGGCTAAAAGATTTGATGATCCCTTGAAATTATTCTTTGATCTATACACTGGAGACCAAAGTCACCGCATTATTCCAACATTTATATTTAACACGCCTGAAGCCAAGGGCGC